AAGAAGGGGTGACATTCCATAGTTTTCTTCATTGATAAAGGAGTGAATAAACGAACATGTTCAAATCGAGATCCAGATTAACAACTGCACAAAATAAGAAACAAGTGAAACACAGATGATTAAGATGACACAGGTGAAGAAGTTTGTTTCGATGTCTGTTGTGCTACTAACATCAACACCAATTGATTGTATTCTAATCGTAATAGGGCAATTTGACTTTGAAGTAACACATTCTCCTTCTCTAATTCCTGTAATAAACAAGAATAGGATTGAATTCATATGTAACAACCAACCTCCATTTTCTCCCTTGTTTGCTGTTCCCTGAGACGACGTACTTCGCGTGATCTCCGAGCTGAATCATTATTGCGACGTCGTTTCTCCATGTAGTCCATCTGAATATTTGGATGAAATAAGAATCTGGACATATCCTCAAACCTTTTTCTCAGTGGCTAGTTTGTCATCTTCTGAACTGTTCGATGTGACGGAAGTAGCTCGTGATGAAATTCTGATAAGATAAATGGTTAGACATATGAGATATAGAAAACAGAACGTACTTTTGCTTCTTGCCTGATGCTTGAGCCAAAAGTTCTGTTAAAGACTTTCCAGCCATAAGCGATTCGAAAGCTGCTGTCATGTCTGTTTAGAAAGGTGGAACCTGTGTTTTTCCTGAAAGATTGGTTTTTGAAACAAATGCAAAGCGAGAATAGTCAACGTAGAAAGAAAGAGGCAAATTGTTGCATTCACCCAACGATCAGAGTTATCTCGAGCCGACCGTTCTAAACGAACGATGTGAGGTCATCTGCGGTCAGACCAGGTCAACTTTGAATTGAGCATTACTCTGACTGTCTCTGTCATCTTAACATCATGTACTGTTTTGTGTACTCAGAGGAAAAGAAACAACAGGGCAACCAGTTCAAACCTGTTGCGTTCGGTCAAACGCGGTCGGTCGGTCGGTCATCAGAAGAAACTAAGAGACCCAGCAAGAGGATGAATTGCGTCATATGGCCCTTGTCTCTTTTTAGTTTTTTTAAGACCATCCATTAGCTTGTCTCTAATTACTATATAAGGCAAAGAGAGAGAATGAGAGACAAGGTAGAGTGAAGAGGCAGACAGAAAGAAGGAAATTTGAATCTGCCTTATGAGTGAAGGAATTTTTGAACGATAAGACTACTACAAAAGGGCAGAAGGTTAATAGCCAAAAAATGAGAAGACAAGGATGGAGAAGATATCCTTTTCTATAATTCAAACAAAGAACATAATTAGCATAATGAATAGAATCGCTTATGAGCCCAGCAACCAAACTTTTTTGTTCTTTCTCTGGTTCTCTCTCTCTCCCTCCTTCTTACTGTCTTTCGCTCTTCCAAAAAAAGCCTGGCAAATATAGAGGCTCAAAGAGTGAATTGATGGTCTGTTGATACAGAGCAGACTTAGAAGAGGTCACACACATCTATTGTGAAGACAGGAAATTTGAATATTCAGCAGATCATCAATGATCAACAGGGCAGAAAAAAACTGATGCGATGTTACCGCTGACTACCAGAGGTATCTGTCAAAGGTGCAGATAGAAACAATTTCCCATTCATGATTACATCATAGCTACGACAGACACAAAGCTCGGCTATCAACACAAAAGAGAAATGTGATGAATGGAGAACAACAGATACAAGAAAAAAAAAGAAGAACCATCTAATTAATAACTAATCACAACCTCTTATAATCCATTTTGTTCTGAAGTACTCTTGTGGTCCAGTGATTCAAGATGAGTTATGTCATCTGTCAGAAACTGTACATCTCGTAAATCATGCACACCAATCTTCCCTCTGCACTCATCCATGTTCATGATGATGAACTGAAAAATAATTGGTGAAACTAAAAACTTTCAGACACTATGATCAACTTCAAGAAAGAATCCGTGGGGAGCATTTCATACAAGTCAACCCATATTTGGCATTTCCTAACATCCAAAAACAGAATTTGGCGTCAGCTTCATCATTTATCCATTTGGGATGGTTTTATAGCCGATTTAAACAATCATCATTGTTCCCTTGAGAAAATGACATAATAGTACTTTAAAGGTCCGGAAAGCACCCCACAGATCAGATTTTAAAATTAGCAATAGTCCACACATTCGACGCCATCCATGTAGATGACACGTACAGCCATGGCAATCACAAACAAGACGCATTTCAAAATTTTATTAGGATAGTCGCCATATTTGGGCAGGCTCGTAGACAGTACGAAGACGACAACATCGTTACGACCATCATTGAAAACGTTGTCGTTATCGGAAATCTTTTGAAGTTAACTTTGTGTCCAATGCTATACGCCATGTCGGCAAGATCAAACGCACTTCACAGAAATTAGGGAAAAGACGACCAAGAACGACAAAGCGACTTGCAGAAAAAGAAGAAGTGATGATGCTGATACCCGTTGTTCCATTCTGGGTGCGGGCAGTTTGTCCGGACTATCGTTCTGACGTTGTTGTCTTCCATCTCCACCAAATTTAGGTGGAGAACGTATGATGGAAGAGAACAAAAAATGTTTTAGCACTAGTTCTCTCACTTTTCTTACGTTTTATCGATTTTTGAAAAGCAGCCAAAAACACTGGCAAAAAATGAACAACTGACGGAATACAAGCTGTGAAAATTGACCAAAAAAATTTTTTTTTCTCGCTTCATCATTCTCTCGCAGTGATTTGTTGATTCGACTATTGACTTCATCAAATGCTATCCTTCATAGTGTGCCGCTAGCAAAGAGGCCGTTTCGTCAGATATGCCGAAGCGATCTGGATTCTTGCCCATGGCATTCACGCCTCCCATCGCCTTCTCATAGACGAAAGTTCTCCATTTCAGCGTCGTCGTCCTAAACATTCATTTCCATACCATCTATATTGCTTCTTAAATATGTGACATCTCTTCTCATTTTCTTTAACTTTTTCTTCTCAGCCTGTGGTCTTCGCTCAATGTGTCCTATTCAAATTCAAAACAATTTCAATTTCTTCTCTCGCTCTCTCTCTCTCACTCTCTCTCTCTCTCTCCTATCATGGTGAACGAGCATTTTCTCATAAACTTTATTACTTTGCTACCACTCATCATAGCTAGCTTCACCAGCTAATTTTGTGTAAAAATGTCATTATAAATACATATTTATCATCCGTTTTTACCTCGTTTTTCAAGTTTTCTTCTCAGAAGCCCTACAGCGACGATGTCCTTGTCCATCACAGTGCTGAGAACATTCATACTATATGTCATATTAATAGTTATATTGTGTACTTAGAATAAGAGCTTGCAAAGTACATGCGGGGCATCCTGTGTGATAGCGTGTTGAGTACATGATTAGCATAATCATTTAACAATTAGTCGTCGCCGTCACATTTCATTTTATGCCTTACGCATAAAGGTGAGCGGTTGCATTCTCTGAATTTTCTCTCTTTTTCTCTATTTTTTTTCAAATTCTTTGACTTTGAGCGCCAAGTTTAAAAAACCTTTTTGAATGATTAAAGAAAGTTTTCGTTACGATATGAAATGCGCTACGTATAGTTCTAACAGCTTTTTATGGAAAAATTTTATAGAATAGGAGACGTCATTTGGCAAATCGTTTCATCCATTTCCGTGGTGTGGTTTTAGCTTTTTAGTTAGTGCTATCCGTCACATAGACAAATCATTGGTCACAAGCAGTTTGAAAGACGAAGAAGCGAGACCAGTAGCTCTTCATCTTCAAAACTGAAGGAAGAGAGGAAAAAGAAATAACATGAAAGTGAGACTGCAGAATGAGACCATCTCATCCATTACCATAGATGGACAAGCGCTAGACCTCTTTTTCTATCTCATGTGCCATCAAACATTCGCATCTTTAACATGGCAGAAGCATGAGAAGCAGAGATAGACAGAAATAAACTGAAGAAGAGCGGGAGCAGAGCTTTCGCCTCTCCTTTTATGAAATTCCGAAACGCTTTATCACTGTCAAGCTTCAAATTCTATTCACCACTCTCTCATTTATTTCATCTGTCATAGTTATAAAGATTTCGTGCTTCATACAGGAGTTCCTACCAATATACTTAAGAAACAGCTAACGTGTACTTTCCATTTTGAACCATTTGGCTTTGGTCCAGATTCTTCCGCATTTCCGGTCATTTGTATTTCACTTCCGGTTTCTCACAAAGCATTTTCACATGAAAACAGTTATTGATTACCTTGTCCGGTCATAATCATTGCGCATGCTCTTATTTCTGCAATACAAAATTAATTAATTTCCTAAAATGGTTTTAGCGCGAGCGCATGATTGGAAACATAGGGCTCCTAGGGCTTGGCTTCATGCCAAGCGGCATTATAACACTTTCTTACATTACCCAAGCTTCTTCTTGATGACAATTTTCCTCCCTGTCTAACCATATGCTCATTCAGAACGAGAGAGAAAAGATATATAAACAAACGCAAGAGAGACATTCTTGCATTTCGTTCTCTACTTTCAGCAGCTGCTGTATTTTCTATGAGCTTAACTGAGATGTACATGTATGCCTTATGCTTTAGATTTGTTAACGCTTCAAGAAGCCTCATTGACAGCCTGAGCATATCTAAGCGTTCTATCCAGCTTGTATCCCAGACAGCCTCAGCGATCAGTCTTTTCGACCGATTTTTCAACTCCAACTTTCATCAGGCGCAACAAAACTCGAACCAAAAATCGATTTTACTATGATAAGACATGTGATAGCAGTTTCCTATCAATTCATATCAACATTCATGTTCCTCAAAACAATCTGGTCTTAAAGCAAATTTGAATTTTATTCTCAATTGATGGGCCATTTCCAGCTTCTGGCCATAAGCGCATGAAGGCATAATTACTTTTTATTTCTTTCTTCGTCTTCTGTCGACGTTTGTGACAAAATTCTCCCTTTTATGGACTGATAACCGTGACTGGAGACTGTTAAAGTTAGCCCCAGCTGCGGCAACATCAAATAATTTCGGCAACCCGTAGGAAGGAAACACAATGATCGTCCGCTTTTCAACGTCAGGTTATTCCACAGTTTTTTGAAAAACGGAGGTCAATTCATTTTCCTTCATCATCATCTTCATCATAGCATACGCCCAGTCTCCCGAAGACTTCGCCTTTATTATCATTTGTAGTCTTCTGAATCTCTTTATTTACTTCTTAATTAACGACCATTATCATTCGGTTTAACCGATTTTCTGCTCGTCTTTTCTCAAATGTCTGCTTGACCTCAAGTTATCATTTTCTGAATTTCAGAGGACGCTGAGATGACGTTCGCTACGTCGTCGACTAGTGCATCATCACACCATCATGATAATATGATGTCGTCTTCTCTGGTTGACTGGCAACTTTACCGTCAGTCACCATCAACAACGGGTCCATATGGTTCAAGCCTATGTTGGTCCAAAGGACTGGAGTTCGTTCTATCCGACCGTCCAGCCTTAGATGCTTTTCGTGATTGGATTTCGTCCAACTCAATAGCTGAGGTAAGTGGCTTCGCTCTTTGATATCGTTCATAGAAGTATGATTCTATATTCAATAATGCCATTTGCAGCCTCTCGAACTGTATTTTGCCTTAAGAGCATATGAACGGATGGCGCAGCAAGGACATCCACAGACTGTTGATTTAGCGACATCAATTCACATGAAATATACGTCTCTTCGTACTGGATGCTGTCACTTCATTTCGAAAAAATTACGACAAGAGGTTAGCTGAAGACCGATATTTTGATAATACGTGTATAATGCAATCGTTCTGTGCCGAAGTTTCGTTTGAAAAGATCAACTTCTTGAGCTTCTTCTTTTCGTTCATGTTTGTGAAGAATGATATCGCGTCATGCTCCTATAATCTGACGCAATGAAACGAATTATAGGTTGGCTTACGTGTCAAGAAGCTGAGCAGTACTGGTGGCGTACCAGACACATCACTTTTTTCATGTATAGAGTCATCGGTCAAAAATTTCTTGAAACAACAGCATGCTCAGTTCGTTTCGTCAGATGAATTCCTCGACGTTTTCAATAAGGTTGGACTTCTGATGAACAGTTCTTATTGAAACTCTTTATAGGTATCACTAGGTGTAGATACTCCGCCAATGAGTGGAAGAAGGAGCAAACGACATAGTAATGTTATGCTATCTTCAACGCATGCTGCCAATCCTCAGTTAACAGCTGAAATGCTGCTAAGATCACGTCGCACACGTTTAGGTGAAAGGTAAATACTTCCGAAAAACAATTCTCAAGCTTCGAATGTACTTTTTGCAGTGTTGTTGAACGTATGTACTCAACACCAGCTCATACAGGATATATTGCTCAACCATATGTTTGTCGTGCAACAACAAGTCAAAATGATAGCGCTGTGAGCTCATCATTCTCATCTGAAGCTCATCCAACGTCCAGGTATTGAATTAATCATCGGCAATCACAAAGTTGAAGTTCTAGGTTACGAAGTATACGTGAAGAACATCGTCGCGGGAACCCAACAACTTTTGCATTGCCTAGAATTGAACATTTTTCGCGAAGTGATGGCCAACAGTACGATCACAGCACAGAAGAAGGTTGTAGCAATCTGTTTTCAATTGTGGTAAACTCTTTCTGATTACAGGTAGACGTCACTTTGCAAATATCTTACTGAAAAAGTTAGTCCGCGAGTATCAAAGACGAGAACAGAATGAGCAAACCGAACGACAACTTCGAGATATTGGAGACAGACGTTGCACGGTCAGTAGCTTATTCTCTGCAGAAACACTGTTTTGTTTTAGGCTCGTGAAATCGTATCTAATACTGAGCCCGTCGACCCTGATGACGATGATGATCTTGATAGGTTAGCTTCCAGTTTCTTCCATTCTTTATCAATCATCCTAGATACGTGGAAAGAATGCGAGAAGATAGTCAGAAAGCTTCTGCACAACGTTCCCCCAGATGCCAGTTACTATCTCCTTGTAAGTTCCTTTACGTCTCTAATTACTGCTGCAATTACCTTGCAACTTGAAGAGATCGAACATCAACCTTATTATCGCACTTTAGGCCCTCATTCACCGAACCGTGAAAGAAGTCGATCTGGCCCTGCAGGGCCAACGATCCCGACCTCAAATGTCATAAGTAGCTCGAATCCGTCAACTGCGCTTCCAGCTTGTTCTTCATCTTCGACAGGAATTCCAGGAATCAGCTCAAACGGCTTCATGCCACTCATGACATCATCTGACTACCCATTTGCATCAATGGCACTTCCACCAGCTCCTTCATCAGCACATGGTCACTCTTATTTGAGCTCACCTGGAATGAATACCTTCAATTGTTATAAAACGAATGAGTATGATGCCCGAATATAATAACAAACATGATACAATTCCTTTTCAGTTATAGTACAAGGAGCGCTGTATATGATTCATCGGGTATAGAATCCATGGCTCCGTCCGACCATTCAAAACACTCAAGCCACACTCGTCGTATCCTTACAGCCCCGAGTGCTAACCACAGTCGAAAATCACGTTTACGCACTCATGGTCATTCCTCTTCGGGTGTTTATCCTCTTATCACTATATCCTATAAAGGTTCAAAACAATGAAACGCTATCAACATTCTTCAAATTTAGGAGCTGATGGAGTCCCAGTCGTAGCACATGTGCCATATGTGAACGGCATGATGACATTAAGAGAGTTTCGAAAACATCTATCTGTCTCATCAAGCCAACACGTCCAGTAAGCGCAAATTTATACGAATGTATTGCTATAGAACACATTGTTACAGATTCTTTTTCAAATCACCCCTAGACGATGATGATGATGATGAAATATCGTGCGCTCCATATCAGCTCTTACTTATCAACGACGACTCATCGATATTACCAGTCTTCCGAGGAAGAATAACGGCCGAATTGAAAAGTAGCTCACCTCAATAGCTCTGACAATTGCCTCATTAGATTCTCTGTATAGCATAGTCTACAATCCGCTCATTTTACCATTACGAGTACTTTCTTCAGATAGCAAAAATATATTAAATTATAATAAAAGAATTTTGCGAAGCTTTAATCAATACTGATGTACTTCAAAACATTCGAATCCCCGTTTTCGCGCCAAAACCAACTGTGAGCCGTTTGCAATAAATCGGCTTTTCTGCTCGGTTTCACGTGAATATACACGTAAATTGTTATTCTTAACTAATTCGTACACGGAAATCGGTTGCATTCTTGCAGCTTCTTTACTCCTTTTAAACTTCTATCTTCCAGTTACGAGTGATTTGAAGCAAGAGGATGCAGAAGAGAAAAATGAAAAAAAAACGTGTGAAATGACTAGTAGGAAGCCGGATGACCGAGGTTTTTCTCTTACAAACACAAAAAAATCAGTTTGAAGACGATGCTGCGACTTGCTGGATGTAAAAATAAAAAATAAGGCGAAGGAAAAAAGAACAGAATAGATTTAAACTACAGCCAGAACATGAAGAGGTTTGAGCTAATTTCCGAAGCCTGCGAGAGAAGACTAAACAAGCACGTGAAGCTACAGCTTCACACTACACATAACCATGGCCCTGCATGGAATCGTCTTTTTGCATAATAGAAAGATTTAAATTTTATTATTCCCTTCGTCTACCCTTTCCTCGTCTCATTCATGTTGGCAGATTTCACAATACTTTGTTCTCTCAAACTAAGTAAGTTAACTGATTATTTCATTGAAACCTTTATCTTCATCCACCCTCATCCATAATGATGAAGCTGCTCTCTTTTCCTCAACAACTCACATCCTAAAACGAAAAGCGGGTGAGAGAAAGAGAGAGAAAGGAGTGAGATGCGGAGAAAGAGAATGCTACAGAAACAAATGAGGTTGTAAAGCATCAAATTCATTTGATTGAGCAGTACTTAAGTTCAATGGAATTATCAATGAGTCGAAACCGTTCCACATGGATTGTATGATGCATTATCTGTCACATAATGATCATCTCATCTTTTTCAGCTAATAAATTATTTTATAAGCGTCTTCTAAGCGAGATGGGCTAACAACAAAATGTTGATGACACATAAGCTAGTTTTCAAAATTACCAAATCCCACCCACTTTTCTTTAAAGCTCTGGAAATTCTCACCCATATATGTACATCCTTAGTCTCAATAGGCGGTCACTCTCACCTATAGCAATCTTCTACATGTTCAGCTCATTATCCATCTAATGTATTCTTAAAACAAATTTACTTTTATATTTATGTGTTCAACAAAACATTACTTCCCCCATTTCCAACATCTGAGCCACTGATTTTGAAAGTTCCAACGACCTTATACCCAGCCGTTTCTTTGGATTCTTCAAAAAGGTCTAAACTTTTAAATACAGAACAATCGTCCTTTTCTTCTAAGCAGAAGGGATTTCGAGCTTTTTTTTTTCTACGAAAAGAAATGACCTTGTTTACTAGGCGAAATGGTTTATTCTCTCTCACTTCCTCTCTGGCTCTCAGCTTCTCCCAATTTCAAGCCTCTTCCTGTGCCTGCTAATCCAAATGTTGCTTATAAGAATATCTATGCCATAAGCGGAAAAATCGTTTCAAAACATGAAAATCAAAATTTTCGGGCTTGTACTTTGCGTCTCCGCAATGCATAGCACATACTAATATTCATCCAACTCCTCTCTCTCTCTCTTTCTCTCTCTCTTTCTCTCTCTCTATCTCTCTCTCTCTCTCTTACTTTGCCATTCGATTCAGAAGGTACGCTGTAAAAAAATTTTTTTTTTAAAATTTACTTACTTCATCACATTGCTTTTGAGTCATTTCCTTCTTAGCATGGTCTGATGTTATCATTTTCCTGAATCAGCTTCGTACAGCATTCAAACCGGAAATGACATGGAAACGCTAGATTCTCAGTCATATTCTTCGTTTTTCGCTAAAAAATAACAAAAATGTATGAAATCGATGAAATGAACGCTTTCAACGCCTTGCTAGTGCCCAAACTAATTTTTGAATAAAAGTTTGCGCGCGCGCGAACTTCCAGTGCACGTATATCACGTATACTACTACTGCTCAGCTTCATTTGCATTCGTAAGCGATACGAAGAACGGTTGCTCCAGCTGAAGAAGCTTAATATCTCAATGAGGAGAGGAATGTTTTTACACTTACACACTACTCCACGCTATTGTTCGTTTTGATTGGAATTAAATAACGAAGGAGTATAGAAGAAAGAAAATTTAGAAATCAGAAAACTCACAAAAAGAGTTTTCTTGGATTTTCTCTAATTGAATAATCTCTCGAATCTAACATTCTTCATGATTTTCTCTTCGGACAGCTGCATTTTCGTAAAATATGTGAACCACACTCCTTTTATGGAAATTAGACAAATAGAATAAAAACATGCAAAGTTCCATTTCATTGCTATATTCAAGCTCGCCCAGCTACTCATAAACTCTCTTCCATCTCAACTTTGATTTTTAAGCTTTAAACGTCTTTTTCGTAAAAATTGTGCCACCTTCATGACTCTCGAATGTCATCGCGCCTTATATGGCTGTCAGTTAAATATATCCTTTTCTTTTTCTCTCTCTCTTCCTCCCCCCCCCTTCTTCCCCCCCCCCCCCCCTCTCTCAAGCTATAGAACCGCCCTTCATCAAGTTCGCTCGAGTTTATGTAAAACAAGTTGACCTATTAACTCTCATTTAACCCAAAATGAAGAGCATGATGTAAGTATCAGCTATTTTTTCCTCATTGATTGCCGTTCATTGGAATTGTTGAAGTTTCCTGAAAGCTACTCCCCCTCTAACTACTCTCTCTTGATTTTCCTGTCATTTCTTCAAATTATCTTTCTATATGACATATGAGAGATTATTGTGTCGTACTTGGAGACATTTTTTCCATTGAGGAATGGAAAGATGGATGAGAGTTGATGACAAATCCCGACCATTCCTTCAACTCACAAATGCGACATTATTTACCTCGCACAATCCCATATTTCCCTCCAACTAAGATGAGACAATTCATTTCGTTCGAGCTTATCATTTGCATATTCCTTTGCATGTCATCACATTTTTTGTTCATTCAATTCAGCTTGACTTGTTCAATAACTCATCCACCAATGACGAATTGCTTTTTCTAAATTCTCATTTATTCATGTAACGTGACAATAAATTTCTTAAACCAATAACCTGAATTTGAAATCAGAAGAGTTCAGACCAATTAAGAGCTTCCGCGAAGTCTGCCATAAGAGGACGCTTTGAAAACATCACAAGCATCTTCGTCTCGAGCATCTCAAACGGCCATCTCCTCACTATCATAATTGTCTTTATGAACGAAAAATAATAAGAAAGAAACTTCCATTTCTTCCTTTTACATCCTTCGAGACTTGGAAAATCCAAAACTAACGGCGTTTCCACCTTCATCTTTGACTGACGGCCGTTTAGTCTTGTTCCAACTCCAAAAAACATTTAATTTCATCCTCCTCCTCCTCCTCCCTCTTTTTCATCTTTCTCTCCTCTATTTTTATTTCAAATGCTTACAGAGTGGATACCTTCTCAACAGCATACTGATTCTCATCTACATTCCTTCACATGATAGCTTCATATTCGAACAAACCAACAACGCTTCTCATGAAACCTCAGAGTGTGGCTAAAGCAGCCGCACTACTGTTCTACACACTAGCACCAACGACAGTTCACATCGCAATGGCGACCAACACCAGCACTATTACGAGTTTATCCCTGCCATCAACTTCAAAAGCAACGAACGCATCGTTCGCTGTTTCAAACAAAACCACAACAACGACGAACAGCACAAAGATACGCGAATGTCTTCCGTACACTCAAGTTTTTCCTGATCTCAGCCATCATCCGGCCTCCATCTCTATATTCACCTTGCTTTACACCCTAGTATTCGTAGCCAGCGTACTAGGTAATTCAGGTAAACGAATAAATTTCAAACATTTGTGTCCCCAGAAAACATCAACCATAGTTCATTCGTGTTCTTAGAAAGAGAGGGAGAGAAGTAATTTTCTAACTTTTCGGTTGATATTTCCATCATTCACAGTCATCATAAAGAGAAAAGTAATTTGAAAGATGTGAATGACTGATTGTCATCATCCATCAGACTTCTATACTTGTCTCTTCCGGATGAGAAGAAAACTAATAATTGGCGAATTCTCTTTCAAGCCCCCCAACCATATATGCTTTAGGTGTAATATACGCAACAATCAAATATCGCAGTCTACAGACAGTTCAAAATATTTTTATCGTCAATTTGGCTGTTAGTGGCGTAATATTAGCTTTTATTTCAATTCCATTAACACCCGTAACCAATATAGCGAAAGAATGGTAAGACATACATGACATCACCTAGACCTTTATACTTCTCTTTCTAAGGTTCTTCGGTGCACCCATGTGCCGCACATTCGCGGGAGTTCAAGCTGTCGGTGTTTTCATCGGCACGTTCTCATTGTGTGCAATAGCTGTTGATCGTTATTTCCGACTTGTGATAGCTCCAGGTGAGTCATGTCAACCAGGACTTTCAACTTAATCATAAACAATCGCAGGCAGCCCATTGAGAAGAAAAAATGCAATACGGATAACAATTCTTTTATGGATTATATCAATTGTCATAGCATTACCATATATGGTTCACGTCAAAATGCGTACTTACGATGAATTCAGTGAGAGCAGGAGCAACAAGCTCATAACTGATTCTATGCACTTGCAGATATCTGTGGCATTTTCTGCACAGAGGAATGGCCGAACGTTGCTTCGAAACGTACTTATACCATATTTGTACTCGTCGTGCAGTTCTTGATTCCATTCACAATCATGGCAATATGCTATCATGCTGTGAGTCTGAAATCTTTAGCTCTTCAATCTCTTTCTCTTGGCTCTTCAGGTTTTTGCATTTTTACGACGACGGGCGAAGTCTCGCTTGACCAGTATCGCCCAACAAGCCAACCTTTTATTAGTTGTTGCTGCTACCGCTGGACGACAGACACAACAACATAAAGAGCAGGTAAAGAGTATTCTGAAACACTTTCTCTGTCTGATAGTACGTTGTGACGAGTGACGTAATCTCATCGCCAGAATGAAAGATGATCTCAACAAAGAGGACATAATAGCTCATCCCTTGATTATTGTTGAGTGCAGAATGGCTGAGCCGTGTTTTCGATCATGCCTATTTCTTTGAATTCCGGCTATCCCGCTTTGATAACATTGAGTGTTTGCTTGAACAAGGTTTGGAACTACTTTGAAAGTCAAACGATAGCCCAATAACTCATTGTCGTATAAGTAACAAGGCGGAGAGTTCAAGATCTAGCTCAATGAGATCTATGTGAAACTGAGTGTGGAAGCAGACTTTTAAGGAATGAGGGCAATAGCTTGAACAGAGAAACGAGACAGCAGTTTGTTTTGCAGGTATCATGAGCGCTAGATGTCACTAAAGTCAGTTAAGCATGTTAGAATGAAAAGTTGGGGAAAGACAACTCAAGAATGAGACTAGTAAGAAAAAGAAATAAAACCTCTGAATACTCAAAGATCATAAAGTGATCAGTAGGCATAGATATGCCATTGGCGGGCAGACTTTTTGACACAGCCCAAGAAGCTATTGACCATTAACCAATGACTTTGGCGGAATTCGCTAACTACCATGTACTGACTCAAAAGCTCGATGAGTGCATTTCTCTAACAAAATGAACAACATGTCAAAGCTTTCAATTCATCGCCATATATAGTATTCAAATGTTCATTGAATGATACTAGTGAATCGACGTGGCATTTCAATTCGAGCTATAGATCTCCTCATGTTGACGAGCTTTTACTAAAAATTATCCCTATCTATCTTTCACCAACATTCGAAAACTTGAAATATGGGATAAATGCTTCCAACTATGAAGGTAGAGAGGGAAAAGCTCAAACACCAACTTTCATATAGCTCATTTTATCATTATCATTTCAGTTGACACACTTACTCGAACAAAAGAAACGCGTGATGGCTCAGAAGCGACGTGTCACTCTAATTCTAGTCTCGATGGTGCTCATTTTTCTGATCACATCACTTCCACACAATATAGTTAGCACACTTATTGAGTTTACGGACAATACACGCATGCTGATGTTTAATAAAGAAGATTACACATATCTGACGAATCTCTTCACACATCTGTGAGTTTATCCCCCCCCCCCTTACTCTGCGCGTAATTAGCATATACGTGAAGCTCGCACTTGTCATTCTTGATTGACCACACACACAGAACGGTTGTTTTTTCAAATTTAAATTCAGACTTGCCATGATGTCATGCGTCTCCAATCCTCTACTCTACGCATTCTTGAATCCAGAGTTCCGCGAATTAATCATCTCAGGGTTATCAGGCTTTAAATGGACCTCACAATTTGCTTCACGAACATTCCAGCCTACACAAACAACGGTATATTAGAAGTAGTATAAATGAAGCTAAACAAATCAATTGCAGTTATTTGAACGATGTAGCGTAGTCAATGCACGCGTGTATCAGAAACAACCTTCTGTCGAAGTTCATCAACTTTAAAAAACAATCCGTTTATTTCATCTTATGTTTTATCAAAATGATAAAATGCTCTTTTTATCTGCGAAACGACAAAAAATATTCACACGACTCAAAAATATAAATAAAATAAAATCAATGAAAAATGAAAGTACACCTGTAATAGTCTTAGGACATAAGTATTTAGGTAAATAACTTGTGAAAAAAAAGCAAATATGCCAATATGGTAACCAGAAAATTAAAATAAGTTAATATACAAGAGCCAATCAACTTGGCGGGGATTTTAGCAGTGTAAAACAGAGTCAGTAGTGAGACTAACGCATTCCGTAAATCGCAGAAAAATTATCTGATTGCTCTATCTTGATTGATGATCCGCCTAATATGGTCTGACCAGTTAGCGGATTCCACTGAGGAGATCGGTCAGGTGAACAACTTTTAACAATAACTACTACCTCCTGAGGAGGCGCAACGGATTGGGCTGCAGATGTTCCAATAGGAATGTAAGATGCGGCTGAGGGAGCACGATTCTGAAATTTGGAACCAACTCGTTATTATGAGTAGATTGATTTAAACCTCGCCGATTGATAAATCACTAGTGTTAAGTGCAGGAGTAGTTCCGCTCGAATCGTGGGTACTGAATGGACCGTTTGTCGAAGAAGGGCTTGGAGCACGTCCAGCGCGCTTGGTTGGTGGAGTTCCAGACTGAAAGAATTACGTGAAAAACCAAGAACGGAGAGGTTACAAACCTCATCATCATTTTTTTCTTCGCTCTTCTCTACTCGACAAAGCATCATTCTATGGAAGTCAGTAAGATGACAAATTAGGGCCCATGCACTAAGGAAACGTTGGCTGCATGAAGCACAGCGTAGCACCTTGGGTTCTCCTGAAAAGAAAATAATTAATAATCTATCGATGACAACCCTATTACCATCAACTTTTAATGATTTACAGCCAGCGATACGATGATCCTTATAGGATTCGAAATCGCAGGTTACAAAACGGCAGCTGCCACAAATTAAAGTGTCGGCCATAACTGCAATGCTCGGATGCTCCTCTTTAACGGACTTCCACCAACCACTGTCAGAAAGATCTTCATTGCATGTCATATCACGTAAAGCAATATCTCGATTTCTTTTGTTCTGTTCAGCTGTTTCATCCAAAACGTTTTCTTCACGACTGAAATCGTCGTATCTTCGCTTTCGACTAAAATCACTGAAACTGAAACTCTTTTTCAACAGCACAGTTTAGGACAGTAACAAACCTTCCTTCAACAGAATCATACTTCTTCTTTCCGACAGGGCCAGTCATAGCCAAATGTACATCTGAAGTACAAGAGCATGATGACGGCGATATGAGATTAATAAGACGTACCAATAATAGCACCCTTCCAGCGCTTGCCATTTAATCCAGTACATGCTGCATCAGCTTCGTGTGCCTCAGAAAATTGCACGAATGCATATCCTTGCTGAAGCGAAAAAGATAAAGAAGAAGAAAGTTTCAATTTACCTTGAAAAATGTTAGTGCTAAGAGCTTTCCAAATGGTTTAAAAAGTTCGATTAAATCATCTCTAGTAATGGGGCCACGAATAATATTTCCGATAAAGACACGAGCTCTGAGAAATACGTTAATGACCAACCGGAAATTGAAAGACACATCATACCTGACCATCAGTGGATCTTTCGAGCTAGTATCATAGCTAATATCTTGATTTAGTGTGGAGGAGCTGACTCTGAAATCTCATCACTTATAAAGCATTTCCTCATATCGTCTTACGCATTCAGAAGAGAATTATATCCTGGTAAAGATGCTCCATCTTCACTGAATGAGGGGCGCTGGTAGCTGTTCATGGACGAAACTGGTGGTGGCATAACAGCTGCTGGAAGGGAGAAACCAAGATCTGTAAAAGTCTGGTCATAATTACAACATGAACTGAACAAACCGTTCATGTCTGTGTATTAGTCAGGCTAGAAGCGCCCTGAATGAAACAAATAAGAAAACAGAGAAAATGGAAAAACTGAGAATGATACTACTAGGAACAAAACTTCAAATAGAGCACTATGATACTGTTAGCCGCAAGAAATATGTGAATCTGATTACGGGTTAGACGGATACAAAACACAGAAAGTGATTAGAGCTCTTTGTGACATCAGATATTTCCCGCCGAAGTTAACATAACCATACTACAATAAAACTATAAACAAGTTGTTATTCGAAGTTTGAACTGTTATCGCCCAAAAAGATATTTACGTTGATTTGTCAAAAACCGATTTTAAAATGGCGCCAGATGTTCCTTTGAACGGCCTTACCGTAAGATGAAAACGAGTAACGTCGCTCTACGTATATCCTTGAAAGGAAAAATTAAGGAGGCAATGAGGCAAAAAAAGTTCATTCACAGATAAACATCTCATATCTGAACTAATTTACATATTGTTTGAAGACACAACCGTTCTGTGCGCATGCTGAATGATGAGTGTGGTACAGTGCATACGTAACATCCGTTAGCTGATTATGCTAATTTTTGGCGCCTAATCATGGTTAACCATTTTGACCATTCTAAACATTGAACGTAATGAGGGAAGATATGGTCCTTACAAGCTTTTCTCACCGGTCAACATTCAAAAGAATTTTGTTCGATATGGGTGCATGTGTGTTTGATATGTATTCGTTTTTAATGGATATGTATTTACATGAGATGTTATTCATCTTCGTTCGAATAACAATAGTCAGATTCGTTGATATGATAAGACTGTTCTCAACATTGATTGGATTGAATAAAATTGAATAAGCAATGAGTTATGTTAGCCTTTCAAACATATATTTTTGATAATTTCAAGCATTTTCAATTAGAAAAATCATTTTTTTCATTTTAATAAATGCGTTCATTCGATTGATGGCTATATAAGGGCATAAGTGAGACATCAAGTATGACTATTCACAATGAACATCAAATTCTCCATTGTTATTCTCATTCTCGGATTATCCTGCGTTCATGTACTGGCTAACCCAGTCAGTACTACTACTACAAGACGTCCAGTACGTCTATGTGCCATGGATATCATTAGAAGAATGAAGAGACTATGTCTGGGATGTACAAAAGCTGTTGGAGAGAAGTTGAGTCCCATTGGTGGAGGAGAGCCTGTCATCGATAAGAGAATCTTACAGGAAGCGATCAATGAGAACCTATGTAAGCTCTTAGTGTTATCTTCAGCCTTGTAAATCTGATTTCTTGACAGCCACACCGATACCTGGTAGATTGAATCTTAGTGGAACTCTGACTGATATCTGTTGTGAACAATCCAAATGCTATGACGAATTCTTATTGGAGTTCTGCTGTACTACAGAGGAAAGAGCAATGGTCCGAAGTGGAGGAACAACATCGGCTCCTTGAAAACATGAAGCAATAATATTTAAATGCTTATTTATATTAATAATAAATATAATTAGTAACCAATCCTCATGTCTCATTGTGTTTTGCAAAAAACCAACAAAGCCATTTTCAATTCCCATATGCAGTTGAGCGGTTGTGGATGGATTAAAGGTCTTTATGAGATCTTTTGTGAAAGGAAGGTTTTCTTTGATTTCCACAGAGATTTGAACATGAAGTCAGCGAAGGCAAATCTGTCAGACGTGGCTATCTGACTGATGATGATGTTACTAATGCTGTTATCTGAAGACAACACAATTTGCATAAATATCCAGATAAGGCTATTCTCTATTTGAATCATTTTGTTCTATATCTCAGTCGATTGGTTTGACAAAGACTCATTTCAATCAATAAACCATCATACGCATGAAGTTTTCTTCAAAGACCCATGTATGGTCCGAAACTAACGCGATAATCTCTGTTGAGGTCACATATGAATCTTTTGCATCATCTTCAACATTCTCATGCAAGTTTATTGCTTTTTCCATCTCAATTGTTTCTCTTACATATTCTCATTTGCATATTTGTATTGAATGTGAAAGCAAATAGTAATCAATCAAGTGATTAACAGAATCCATCAGCTTTCTCTATGTCTTGATGATAGTTCTTGAAGAAAACAGCTGGAGAGTGAGAGAGAAATGAGGAGAAGCTCTCACATCGCAGTTTAAGCTCATTATATTCTTTTAGAGCTCTTTCTGTATCCGCCAAAAGAGATTTGAGCGTCTGAGGCCATGGTTAGTTCGCCGCTTAACAGATGGCCATCCCTAATTATCTCATTACACGCCATATTCATCACCTTTCGCATTTTTTATGTTTATTTGTTTGTCTTTTTGTTTTTCTCTTCTTCCTCCTCCTCCTCCTCCTCGTCCACCTCCTGCTTGTCGTTTGTACAAGCACAACACAACCATCATCCAGTTCTATTCATTTGTCGCTTCGTTTACTCTTCACATATCATTTTTGTAACAAAAAATGAAAAATGAATGTTAAAAAAGAGTTATTGATCGATTGAAATTAGCATATAGATGAGTAGCTTCTCAAACAAGCTTATAATTAGAATAAAAGGTTGTTGTATTAGAGAAGATCTGGAAAGTTGTCATCAATCATCTAAACATAAGGCTCTTTCTTCATCATTATCTCTTCATCACCTGCAATATACTTTAAGCTTTCTCTATTGTCACCTGTTCGTCAGAATATTTCTTTTTTTCTGTGTTACTTCTTCAATTTCTAGCTTCTCTTAAGCTTTTCCATTTATAAAATAACCTTTGAACCAATGCATTCTCTCTCTCTATATTCCAAAAAAGGCTAATTGAGCTTTCATTCAAACTCTTCCTTCTCCCTCTCTCTCTCTCTACCACTCTCATCCGTCTTGACACAAACCGTTTCCTTATTCTTGTGCAACAGAAAAGAAGAAAAAATTCTTTTTTTTTTCCATCTTTTTGCAAATATTTTCAATCTGCCTTCTGAAGCAATTGTATCATCCACTTCACTTCAATACACTCCAGCAACGCCTTCCATAGACCTTTTAGATCGTTCAAGTACTTCCACCAGAAATCTTCATTTTGGGTTTGCAAGTGGCCATCCGTTTCATTCAAGCTTTATGAATCTTCTCATTTTCATTTTCAGCCAACTGACCATTGACTGCAGAATATGAATTCTTAACTGTAAACTGCAATTAGAGACTTTCGAAACTCAAGTAAAATATGTTCTGAGGGAAATTGAAACCTCTACGCGATACATAGATTTTGATAGATAGAGAGAGAAATATAGAGAAATAGAGATATGAAGGATAAAGTTGACATCTGGTCAACCTCCCAAAGTCATATCCATTTGTTCATATCGGCTATCCCTTTCAACCTGTGCTCATCTCTGCCAAATCCTTTCTTTATGCCATTCTCAGCCTGATCGTCCTTTTTATATCATTTCTTATCAAATCGTTCTCATCCCCACCAGTTCATATATTGTATTTCTTTCTCTCTCTCACTTATTCATCTGAACATGATGATGCCAATAGGTTGATGGGAATAAGCTTCTTCAGAAGTTACCATGACCATACTCAACACACATTCATCACAAATGGTAACAGATGTGATGACGTTTTACTATTCTTTCTCTCATTTTCTTCTCAAAAATCTTCTCAAAAATGTTTGTTTTTATTGTAAATGAAACGATGATTTGTGGAGAAACATTCATTTCACATCTGTTATTCTTATAGTCGAACATATAAAAATAAATTTCTTTTCTTCTGTAAAACAGTTAAAAACAAATATTTTCGATCAAATCGTTAAGCTTTCCTTCTGTTTCCGACTTCCATTCGTTCAGTTCATCTCTCTCTCTCTCTCTCTCTCTCTCTCTCTATTCGTCTTCAAAACATCATTTTAGGGAATATGGCAGTTACACGTCCAATGCGCAATCATATGCCCAGCTCTATATCTGACTATACCGTGGTAAGTTCGCACTATGCACAGTTAGATGACAGCACAATTCGAAAATTCATTTTAACCGCCAAAACAACGCTCGTGCATCCATCTTCACGTGGAAAACACATTTTGAATTGTTAACAAGACGCTTGTCGGTTGTTGCTTTGTGCTCTTCATCATTTTTTTTTCATATTTTAACAAAAAAAAAATGTTCAAATATCCGCTGTTCTAGAATAATACTGCATCACCCATCAGTCATGTCTCCTATACAACTCAGCCAGCACCAGCATCTATCTTGAAAAAGCCTAAAATGGTTGATATGACTTCCAGCCGAGCTTCTGATACTTCCTACTCTACTCAGAACGAAATGAATCTCCTCCGTTCAAAGGTTCGTTCATGTGGAACACTTGTAAACAGTCACATCATTCGCAATTGATTTCAGGTCATTTATTCTGTTTGTCTGAGTAGTTGCATTTGTGTGGCAGCTTTTCTGCTGGCAATTATCTCATTTCTAACATATTATAGCATCGATTGGACGAATCGAATCAAAATAAATAAGATTTTCATCAAGGTACCACTTGAATGAATGCAATTCGAGATTGAAACTTCATACATTATAGGATGTAATGAAAGATTGTCTCGATGCGGCTGAGCTCTCTGTCATAGCTCTGTCTTTAGCAACTTTCGCCTTCTCAGCATTCCAATCGTTCTTCATGCTCAAAATGCTCAAATCACATCCTGAAGAGCCTGAGATGTACTTCATTTTCTATCCAGAATTCAGAAATATAATATTTCTTTGCAGAGCTTTGAGCTACATCGAGAAGACGAGCTTTCTACGAATGGTTGTCAACTCATTCTGGTTTTTGGCCTTGGTAGTCTTTCTTATAAGTGAATTGCTGAATCATTTCCACAATTAGACTAATATCCTCTTTCAGTTATTTTGATAGGATGTGCTACTGACAATTCACGCAGCATGTCTGCTCGAGGAGTTGGAGTATCTATTGGCGTCTGTGCTCTTCTTCTAGCCACATTCACAGCGATTAAAACTATTTGTATCTGGACAAACACGACATACTCCAGTCACAGCAGACAAACTTACAAACAATTTGCAACTCTTGTTTGATCCATCTAATAGATAGAACGTCTCATTCCCTCTATACGATAACATAGGAAGAGAACAAACTTCTTATGACGGGTTTCCATTCTAAAATGTACATACAATATGCTCGATAATAAACCTCTGAAACTGTCTCCATCAGATATTCATAGTTCCTTATTCAATCAGTCTGTCTTGCTTTTCAATACTCAGATTGTAAAGTATTGAGACACTTCTATTCTTCGCTTGAAACTCTGAAATACATAAATCCATTGAAAATGCTTGACAAGCTTATGATTCTATTCGACATCCAATGATATTCATAAAGATTATACAAAGAGATAATTGAAACCTAAGAAATCCAACAAATACTTCCTCAAGCTCCATAGCAATTCATCAGTAAGTACGCCCCATTGCCATGCAATTCTGGCCGCGAGCGTATGCGGTGCGTATCCAACACGGCGCAACTAATTCCGATCAGAGTGCCTTCTGTACTTATCAGGCAAAGGTTCGTCTGCAGCTTCACTATTTTTCGCTAAGATCTCTGCGAAGCTCTCATAATGGTTGAGTTAGGCAGCAAAACTCCTTTCGGACAATCCTTCGACAATACTGTCTTCATCTTGCCTGCTATTGTCATTGTTGCTCTCGCTGGTAAGTGTTTGATAAATTGAGATAACTCACTTTGACACCTTTTGTGACAAAGTACTAAAAACGTCCGAATGAACTTTGTAAACCTTACTTTCTACATTCTTCTGAATGTATTTCTGTTTCGATTCTTATTCGATCAGGTACTAGGTCACTACTCGGCCGAAAAGTTGTTTAGCTGGTAAAAGTAATAAAACATCTTATCAACATTGATATGTACGACCCTTGAACTTTCTATTTCAGTTTTCTGTGGCTTCAAGCTCTTGAACTCCATCAAGGAAAAAGACCAGAAAGCTGCTGACCGCAAAGCGAAGAAGGAACAGAAGAAGACAATCAAGACTAAGTAGATCATGAAAATTCAAATCGTTGAATAGCTATCAAGTATTCTGATGATCAATTGTTGCCCGAACTATGCATTTCACATTCCTAAATTTATTCAAAATATTTATTTTTAATATAAATTTTTAATTTTTAAACAGTTTTCTGTATCAAGATGGGCGAACTAGGTCATTGGGCAGAAAAAATTTCATTTTCGGCTTGGGTATGGTTGCCAGGGTAACTCGGTCAGGCCAATGTGCTTCCAGGTCTGCAAACGAATAGAAAGAGCTTCCCAATGCAATTTTGATTAATCCTCATACTATTTATTCATTTATATCATTATGTCTCTTTTCAACTTTTGCGAATGGTACACGAACGATTTTCCAACTGCCAGTTGTATGGTTGTTGAAAATCTAGTTGCAAATCGGGGTCAGTTATCTTCGTAACTTTCAGTTTGCTGAAAATTAATTTAAGATCAAATAATCGTTGGCGCAGAAGATGGAACAGTTAGTATTATAGATCCGGGAGCCACTGAAAAATCTGAAGAATCTTTATTATTACAAAAGTCCACTGACAAGTGTGCAATACAGATTTTGATTGGAGAATTTCTGTCGATTCCCGGAAAGACTATTGCCATATTGAGTACAAACACGTTGACATACTATAGATTCAAATATGGTTAATAAGTTTATTGATTTTTTTATTTTACTATAGATGTAAACAACCAATACTATTGTTCAAACTCAAAAACCAATCGATAGTAGTCAGTACACGTTGATATCACGCACGCACACTAATTAGCATACGTGAATGATTCTGAGAAAATTTAGTCATTTTCATCTCGTGAATCAATCGGAAGCGGTTGTGCACATCCTTCTTCTCTGTTTATTCTTCTGTATTAATCAATTTCAGATTCAAATGATCTGGCTCTCACAGAGTTACAAGAAATGTTCAGCCACCCGTTGGCTGAGCCAGCCTATAATATGTGCTTGGTAGTTAACAACCAGTCAGGAACTTCACAAATCCTTGTCCAGAGTGTATCATGTGGCTTAACTCTCTTTCAAGGTGACTATTCCTTTTCAGCACATTGTGGCTATAATATTGGTTCAGGTGATCAATGTATTTTCTCTCGAAGTCCCTTACCCGCATTACATCCCGGTCCAATAGCTTATAACATTCCATCAGCATCTGTGCTCATAGCATCAGGAGCTCGCTTACATTCTGCAAAATTCAGTTTGATAGCTAGTTTGAGTAACAGTGGAAAAAAAGTGACAGTGAGTATTAAGCTGTTTTGATTTCCAACAGAATTCATTATATAGTTTGATTGGATCTGTAATCTGGGTGATGTTGCCTTGCAACTGGCTATGGACGATGGCCCTCCGGTGCAACCGTCGGTTCTCGTATTATGTAGAAGAAGTGTTTTCTGTTTCACTACGGGTGGAAATCTCAGGTATAGGTTGAATCCTTTGATGCCTCGGAATGAATATCTTAAGGTGGCAGATTCGCTTGGACTGTGTCGCAACAACTTTCTTCGTTTACCGTTCTGGATGTACTGTGAATTATTTAAGAATTTGTCTAATTAGAGATGTTTCAGTAACAATCCCTTCTACTCGTTTTGGAGTGATAGTCAACACCAACACTTTGCTCATCTATGCAGACAATGTCCTTTTATGGAATTGTCAGACAAACTTCCTGCCCATAGCTGTCGGTATAGGATCGTTCAGGTAGACTATTTATTGTCTTTCAAAGTGAAAACCAGTAGTTTTTTCCAGTGCTACGCATCAGTATCTCCTTTCCTTTTTGTCATTCGAAGGGCGTGTGTGTATAGGATACCTGGGAACTGAACCGAGCTTGTACCGTGTGGTAGATATGGATAATCAAATAATAGACTATGGCGTGAAACTACAAGAAATTAAAGCACTCGAAGAGAACATTAAAGACTCGGCTGGCCCAATGCGTTAGTTCCACGATGACTATAGCTAACCTGTCATAATTTAAGCATTAACTACAACTACAAGTAATCTTCAAATGACATTCAAGATTGGTGATATTGATAAATCCGGCATTGTAAGACAACTCAGACAGTTTCTGTTAAGTTTGAACTGAAATTGTAGGGATCCAGATCAGATGCTCCGAGTTGTACAGTAACCGTACAGTACGGAGGTGTAGGAACAACAGAAAGAGTTTTTCTAAACGTGCGATCATCGTTTTCTCATCAAATCATGAGTGAGTTTGTTTCCATTTGATGTTTACAATCTTCAACATTCAGAACATTCAAACAAAGAAACCATAATAGAGTTTACTGTAGATTCAAATAGTGCTTGGCCTCCTAGTACTAATGTACAACTTGTAGCTGTAACTGCTGACAGCCAAGGTGTGTTTAAAAAAGACAAAATGTTCTTCCGTTGCGGGGAATCGAACCCCGGCCTTATGGGTGAGAGCCATAAATCCTAACCACTAGACCACAACGGACATGTACATTGAGTCAATAGTACAAACTATCTATTCTGTAAAGTCAAATAGGTTTAGCAAAGATATGTTTTAGCCACTTGTGTTGCAACAATAACACTACCCATTCGTTTGCTATTTTTCGAAACATCTCCTGAACGGAATGCTAAATATAAAATAACACTCGATACGGACCGGCCAGCTGCTTCATTGGTCAGTGTGTTTCCAGGTAAATAAAAATATCAATACAGCTATCCTATTACCTCGAAAATTATGTCAATTTTAGAGTTCGAGACGGAAAATCCCTCTTCAATCGCCCTTTTCCTCTACGGTTCAAATTCAACTGTCTCCATATACAGTGGAAACAAATCGAGTATGCAACATGTTTTTTATTCAGAGAGAGAGAGGGGATGGGGGGGAGGGAATTGAAGTATGATAAACATTAATTTCATATTTAGATCGATATCGTATACAAACTGATGATGCATCCCTTCTATATGTTATTATTCATGAAATGACTGTTCGACTAAAAAAACTGGAAAATGACATTAATATACATGGAAACGTTCCGTTAGAAATAGTAACTCCCATCTTAGATAGCCATCTACAGGTCAGCTTTCTTAGAATTTCCAGAAGCAAGAGTGATATTGCAGCTTGAGGATCGGTCACAGAGTCTGAAGGATGAAATCACACGGATATCTCGTGAAGTTCGTGAAATTGAGATTGTCATTGTCAATAAGTTGAGAAACACGAAAACGGAAAATCTGGTACCACTAGATATGCTTATGGAGAAAGCACACGATCAGGTCTGTTAGCTTTCCATCCTCAGCCTGATATGATCTGTTAAGCTCATAAAAGCTGTTGATCAGCAACGAACGACTAGACAAAGCCTAATTGATTCTAATAAGACATTGATGTCGTTTTTTCACGTCATAGCGCTGCTCATGTCTAATCCGGATGCTGAGACTACCATAAACGGTTATTTCTATTGTGATACCAATCAGGTAGGAGGTGGTACAAGAATTGTTTGATATTATCTGAGATTTCAGTCATTAAAAGATCGTTTGGCTTGGGCAGCTGGCTTCTCAGGTGATCCTTTACGGATGCTTGGAGCATTGTGTAGACAAGCTACGAAAACGCTCACTCACATTGTTGAAGAAGAAGGGGAAGAAGAGGGCTTCGACGAAACATCTGAGAATTCGTAGTGTCCTCTTCAGCATCTATCATTAAGCTTTGCTATTGTATTCCATCTAGATCTGTTATATGATGGAAGTGATAAAGGCGATCGTTGATTTGGTAAATGATAAGCAATTAATCTCTAATCGTCATCTGACGTAATTCCCAAACACGACTAATTAAGTTTTATAGTACTAATAAGGTAATGGAAGACTTCAGCCACACTGAGATTTTACGTACAAACACAACAGAACCTAATCCTCTTTCATTTCCCAACAACAATAAACAAAATGGATTATGAAACAGGGATCAAGGACATGATAACAATTACAAAATTTGATTGCGAAACGAAAAAGTTGTGAGAAAGTATTTTGCAATCAAGCCAATTCGTAGTCATCGCGGTTATTGTTATATTCAGCAACGTGTTGCCTGATCTTACTGGCATTAGTCCATGTGATAGCATCTTCCTGAGCCCTGGTTACAACGAATGCTGGGTCAGTAATCAACTTATGTCCTACACGTACATGGCCCTGTTCCACCTGAACGAACAAATGAAAATAACTGAAGTGTTAAGATAACGTACAAAATCACTAGCAGTCTTGATACTGTCTACCATTCCTGAATTCTTCATAACCACTGGCAAGCGTCTACGGGCGAAAGAAGCACCACTAACCTACAGTAGATTATCAAAATAATCTGACAAATCGGATATAATGATATACCTTTCCTAATCTTTCAGCACTGTCGGCAGTGGGGATCAATCCGACGGCATAAAATTTGCTGAGCATTGCCTTTACACACTTGTTTCTAAAAGGATCGTTCAAAGGTAACTCCTTCAGCTGTTCAGCGATGGCTCTGGCCTGAAAAGAATACATAAGGTATGTGTGAAAATGAAAAACGAACCTCGCTAGCCAATTTGTTATACATAGAATACTGTTCTCTCTTTTGAATGTGAAATCTGAAGAGGAAGAGTTCGAGTTGGGTGATCATCGACTAGCTTACCTTCTAAGCATATCATTCTGCTTACCGAACTGATCAACCTCCCATTGAACGAAATCTGTCTTTCTTAAGAGCTTCTGCTCGTGAAGTTTTAGTTTACGAACCATCGTTCACCTAAATGACCTTTAGAAAGAGTTGACTAGGAGTCAGAAGTAGTAAAACTGTGATAGAACAGTCTAGAACAACATGGCAAAATACAATTAAATAGCATCTTTACTTTCCTTCATTGGTAAAGAAAAAATTTGAGAAAATATCGCAAGCAAAAAGAAGCCAATCATGGACAAAGCAAAGCTAATATGGTCAATTACATAGTATTAATAGTAGAAAGAAAAGAGGACTCATACCCGATACAGGCTTGTTGAAACTTCGTTCTATACAAGGACAACGAATCACTCCTTTTCGAGTAGTTCTTTAATAATATAGTTAAACTCGAATGTTACACACCAAATACTCTATGAACACTATTTGGCAGTAATGTGACGTACAAATATTTCTTGGAAAACTAATCAAAATCGAAATTTCATAGCTGATCTACTATGAGGGAGGAGGACATATAGCAAGAGGAGATGGGAGAATTTTATGTACAATTCCTAAGATCCTACTAACTTGTGATATCTGTATCAAACAGATGCAAAAGAAGGAAAGCTCACAGATAATATTGAGTATGAAATATATATATATATATATATATGGATATATAAAAAATCTTTTCTGTATATCCTTTTTTGGTGCTGTGACATCACTGTTTTTTGAACTTTTTGATTATCGACGTCGGTGAGGTATCCCGCTGTCGTTTGCGCTGATGGCGTTGTACTTGCTGCGCCAAAAAAGTATCTAATTCATCTTCTCGGGCATTTGTGGCAAGATTCGGAGTTAATACCTAATGATACAAGTCTTGAACAACAATAAGATGCTTCATACGAACCTCTTCGAATAAAGCTAGACCATGTCCTGCATCAGGCTCATCAAAATCATGCCGGTCGTGAAAACGTCGTTGACTTTCATGATTACCATCAATACTCCTTCGTAAAAATTCCATTAGGGTGTGAATATCGATAGAGTTCCTGCAGGACAATGCAGATAATAATTCCTGGAAGCACATGTAGGCAATAACAACGAAATCAATGGATTAAACTCGAGAGAATGTTAATAAAGGACAAACCTTAGCTAAAGCCGTACGGCCATCCCTAAATCCGTTTGTATGGCTAGTTCTACGTATTTCAAGTGAAGTCTTAACAAATGAACACGAATAAATGATATTAAACTAAATATGCTAACCTTATACAGCTGAGTAGTGTCAGCGGCGGCCGTTTGTAAAGATTTCCAAGAGGCGTCCGTATATAATTTAGTTACCGATCGAGCACAAGACTGAAGAACGAGCATAACAGTGACAATTACCGTGTACATACCTGAAACTCTTTCCAGAGGCGCTTTGTTTCCTCATCTTCCTCAATAAAATAATCTCCACAATCTTTTAGCTGAGTGAAAAAAGGATTTTGATTATTAGCCATTGGTTGAGACTGTAATAAATTTTCTGTCAACGACTTATCTTTATCTCTATTGTATTTTTTTTAAAAATCAAAGTAAAATTATAAATTCATCATAATATCAATAAATTTCTCCAATAACATGCGGCACAGACCGCATCGTATGACCAGGCGAATCGACATCATCCGCACCGCCTTCTCGCTGCCTAGACGCAAACTGGTAAACACAGTGCGATGTAACTAGGCTACATCGTTGGATGTACATGTTGAGTAAGACAAAATGTAATAAAATTAAAAGCGTCGAACTTTCTCCAAACGTCTTTGCACTTCCATTTTCGTCCGTGATCTACGTTCGTGGTCTTTTTTTGGAGCTCGATCAACAATTAACATTTTGGTCGACGAAAAGCTGCGACTTCCGAATGTTGACCTCGAGATCAGACTGTGCGACGCTAACGGACACAAGTGGCGGCGAAAAGGGAGAAGCTGGCTGATAAAATTATGAAATAACACGAAAATAAAAAAAAGATGTCGTTTATGATCTGCATAGTAATAAAATGTCTTTGACATTCGATTATATTGACTAAATCCTAGCGAAAAGAACGAAAGCTACCTAGAAATGTCTAACATGCGCCTGTCTATTTTTGATACATGGTTTTGTGAGGAAGAAAAAATATAAATAATATGCGAATATTAGAAAAATCTGTAAAATCAACAATATAAAAATATTAAAAGAAAGATTTCTTGATATAACCGGGCAGGTTTCAGAAGTGAACTCCGCGTTACAACGAAAATTTTCCTCAGAATGGATCCGTAACTTTACAAAATATTTGAACAGTGTGCTCTCTCGCTCTTCTTCCTGGCTCTGAAGTAATCTCCTGGTTGTGACTGTTTAAAGAGAGGCATAGCAGGTAGAGAAGGAGTTTCAAGGTTGTAAAGCTTCAATGTGGATCTGAAATACGATGAATCAAGTTCTACCTTCAGAGACTAACCGATTAAGTTTCATATGACTTGACACAAGTTCATCCTTAACCAAAGCGGCCATCAAACTCAGCTCTCCGGCTAATACAGTCGCCGCTATTACTTCAGCTAGGAAGGAGGCGTTAGATCCGGCTATATCTACGGACGGTCCGGCACATGAAAGTAGCTAGAACCAGATAATGAAGTGCAACATTCGTTAGATTCTTACCTGGAGACATTCATTCTGCGGAGGGAGGATTGTTCCACCGCCAACTGTTCCTACTTCCACACAGGGCATACTACACGAAACGTATAAATTCCCTTCTTCATTCACTTCCATTCTCGTTGAACACATAGATGATGAAACTACTTGAGCAGCATCCTATATGCAAAAATGATCTAATTCCTAGCGCCAACACTACCTGTCCAGTGGCCAAGAAAATAGCTGCAACTATATTAGCTGCGTGAGCATTGTTCCCTCCCAAGCATCCAGCCATAGCTGAGCCATGCTGTAACTTTCCCTGTAACGTGGACTGTCATCATTGAACTTTGAAGTAAGGGCATACGGATGCTACGTAAGCCATTTCTGCGGGTGTCGTTTTTAACACGCTTTTCACCACTTCTCTAGGCAAAACACATTCGGCAACAACTGATCGACCACGTCCATTAACCCAATTGATTGCAGATGATTTTTTGTCAACGCAGTAATTCCCACTGAGCGATAGTATTTCCATGTTGGGAAATAGATCTTTCAATGCTTTTATAGCTGAAGAACACGCTCTGGAAGAACGTAATTCATGATAAGAAATCCAAAACTGCAAGTAATTACTTGGACACCATGTTCATACCCATTGCATCTCCGGTTTTTGCACTGAAACGTACAAATGCCTGATTACCGTTCAAGGCAACGTCTATTTTACATAGGCTAGCGTAACTGAATGAATAGGAGGATGAGAAGGAAGAAAAACGTTGCTCCCTACCGACTAGTTGAATCAAAAACTTCTTTTACTTTATTATAATTCTCTGTGTCGTCCAACCATGTTTTGAAATTGCTAAACAACGTAAGATAAGAACAAAGAACCGTTTTTGCTACTCACATGGTTTCAACTAGGTTGGGAAATTTGACGATGGGAGCCCTCGTCATTTTATCATCATGAACGATGGCACAAACACCTCCGGACTTCTGAATCAAACAAAAAAATTGCATGAACGCCCTTTTCACTTACAGAAATTGCACTGCATCCTCTGTTAGTACTAGCAATCAGAGCTCCTTCCGTTGTGGCCATCGGAACATGGAGCGATTTGGGACCTTTCCGAGCTATAATAAGTCAAACGATCATTTAATCCATCATAAGGTTGCATGACTGACTCATGATTCGAAGCGGCCCTGCTACACCGACAGGAATAGGTACGAACCCTATAACGTTTTCGCAACACGTGTTAGTAACCTTCAACAGAACAATTATTTGCCAATTAATCATCTTCATCTTACATATTTATACTCAAATCCTGTATATGGTAAACTTCTGAATGATACATCACGCCCTACAAACGCCCTCAAAAGCAAATAGAACTTTAATTGTTAGGGTTGCACCTTTGCCTTACCTCCTAATGGACACTGCAGTCTCTGGATCGAAATGAGATTCTAGTTCGCGGCTTTTCGCCATTCCCCGATTAAGGAGACGTAGGGCATCTCCAGGTCTTACTTCACTGCCTAGAACACACCGATCAGTAACACTTGTAAACTCAGCTTACCATTTTTCCATGCTTTAGAGATATCATCTAGGGTTCCATCTTCAGTAACTGTGACTTGAACAACTTCATCGAAATTACATTGGGTTTGAACATCGATCAAAACTTTCTCTGATTTCTGTTCAGTGCTATCAGCTGAAAACGACTGAAGTACAAAGAAAAAAACTATTTGGGCAACCAACAACTTGAGTCATTATCATTATCAATATCTTCATCACCGACAGAAAACAATGGAACTCTTTTCAGTGGTTTGTCTTTTTTATCAATTTCACGCAATAATGTGGACAAGAACCATCTGAGAAAAACAAAACTAAATAAGAAATACAGTACTGCGACGTACCTTTCAGCTTTATCTTTCCAATCATGTTTAGATACGTCTAGTTCATCAAGAAACTTCCGTATGGAAGGCAAAACCCCAGTTTCATACATGGGGTTTTGAGAATACATAAACGACACCTAAACAATCCTTATTTGAAAGTACAAACGATTTCCACAGAGAAACGTGATTGAACGAATATTTCACGATTCAAATTCAAATGCTCTCCAAAGATTACCCATTGAAAGTAATCACGCAATGTCTTCGGTTATCAAATTTTTGAAGCTCACAGTCTAATGATAAAACATGAAAATTGAAACTGAAGGGCAAGACCGTACATGCCAATATAAGTAGTATTGGTGGTGCGTGTAAACAGCGTGCAGTGTAATTTCGTTTAGGCGGACTGTCATATGTTACCATCATTATATTTTTCATTTCGATCAACTTTACAATTAATTCCTAAAAAAAAGTGCATTTATTACATGATTCATGGTTAATTAGATTGTTTTGTTATTAAGGAGTTAGAACTAACACATATCGATAACATTTATCAAATACAATATATAAATCATACCTGAGTTGTTCTTGTTCAAACCTGTGATAACGTTCCAACTCGTACATCATATCACTCACATTTCTCATTTTGTCTTTCCGTGAATGTATTACTTATTGATAAAGCCCAGCTTGTCCTGATATCGCACCTTCTACTATCATCTTTTTCATTTCTAGTAAAAAGTTCAGGCATACCGGTCGGTTGCTCTTGCCGTTCTGAAATATCACCCTTGTCATTGTTTTTGTAAATTATCTACTGTTACTTTCTTTATATGTTTGTTTCAGGACTAGCAAAAGGTTCTCCTCGTTTTCTTTTCATACTTTGGGATTGTCCGAAGTATGAGCAACAAGTTCCTTGAAAATTATAAAAGATTCTCAATCAAAATATAACATTACGGGTTCGATTGCGGTGTGATGATGATTTTATAATAACTTGTGGATGGATTTATGGTATTTCTCAAAAACAACATGAACAACATGAACAACATTATATCTATTTCTCCTTATCCGGTCCAGAAGTATTTGGAGATTTCCTTGGATGTAAGTCCAGAGCTTACTCCATCCGAACCTAATCCCTCTCGGTTTCAGATCTTGGACCGCACTCTCAATAAAGATGTAAAGCAAAGAAGAGCAGATAATCTTCTGAATCAAGTCAGGAAGTTAGCTTTCTCTGTAAGACTCATCATATCATTATCCCAAACCAAGTGTCCTTTCAGCAATTGAATGCTCATGATGCAGACATCATCAGAAAAGTTTTCAACAACCTTGTAATAGCTTTGAACCAACGACATGGCAACAATGAGTTCAAAAAGGTTGTTGCTGAAGCTGCAGTAAGTACTGCTGTTCTTTTACCCAAAGACTATCCATGGTAAGCTGATAACATTAGACTGCTTCTCATACCTCAACCTTTCAGGTTAGTCGAAGCATATTTCGACAACAATGCTATCGAAGACAAAGCCACTCGAATTAAAATTTTCTATGATATAACAAATTATTTTTTCGAAAACTCGATCGGTGTATGTGGTATCACTCTTCAGGTATGTTCTTTCTTCTCAATATGGCTGACAAATGCTTCATTCCTAGAATGTTATTAAAATTGTGATGAAGTCGTTGGAAGTCAATTTATCAGAATCAACTATTCTTGTTCTGTTGGATTTTGGATTTTTGCTCGGAAAAATGACTCCTAACTTCGAGAATTATTTTATAGTAAGACGCTATACTCGAAGCATTGAAGTTACCTTGCCATTTCAGGATTTTGTTGATTTTATTCTCGGTTGGATGGTGGGATCCACATCGCCAACCTTCATTTCGAGCTGTTTTGAAGTTTTAAGTCAGATGAAGAAGTTCTGGATAGATAACCTGCAATATGGAAATGTGTTAATGACTGGTTTATCAGACGATGTGTATCGGTTTTGTTTGGTAAGCTCTTAAGTCACTTGGAATCTTCATCGCCTATATCTTCTAGTGCGGGAACAATGCTCAGGAGTCCACGTTCCCAAGAGCAAGGACGATGGTTCTTGCTTTCTCCGGTTTTGCTCAAATTTACATAGAGGTTGGAGGAGTAGCTGTTATTGATACGATTGTAGAGATAGCTCGCGGGGTTTGTTGAATTCTGAGTTCCACATTGACCATCTAAATCTTAGGCTGTTCAAATTTTTGTCCAAGCCTGCCAGATATTAAAAGATAGAAGAACAGAAGCAGAAGTCGCTGCCTTTATAACCTCTTTCGCAGATCTGTTTACCGGATTCTGTAAAATACATCCTCTGGACAAGCCACCGGTTAGTTATATGAATATCTCGGAGAGTTTAATTTTATATTTCAGGTGGAACAGCTAGTAAAAACTTTAATCGAACATATATTAACTCTCTTCGAAAGTTTCTCTGCACATGTCGGCCCTCTCACTAGTCTCCTGAACAATCTTTCCAAAGTACTGAAACACCTTAATCCTTTTTTCATTTTTTTTCTTAGCTTCTCTTGATTACTACCTTGCCTAATCATATCATTCTTCCTATCATCGATAAGTTCCTGGAGAAGGATGGTATTTACGAAAAAATCATCTTCTATGACAAGTTTGTTTATTCAAATGGTTTCCTTTATGAGATTTTCATTCAGCCTCTCTGCATGTAAATCAGTTTCGTCTGTGATCAATTCCTGTTTATCTCATACCTCTCTTCCCATTCTACAGAAGACTTATGCTCATTCTAGAAGGATCATCCAAGGTGAGGGAGACACGAAATGAAAAAAGGAAATTTAACTTGCAGATTCCGTAGCGGAGCTTGAAGAGCTTTCCAACAAATGCTATAAGCAGCTTTGGAAAGTGCGAACTATTGAGCCGAAGCTGATCACTTTAGTTCATTCTTTCTCACAAATCTCAGTGTCTAAGAACAACTTGATTGTTGTAAGTTTTCATTCTCAATACAGTCTCACTACTGATGCATACAGATGATGGGAATGTCACCCTCATTACTGAATGTTATGCTAGAAGATTTTCCGGCTACTTCGCAATGGTTTGTTGACAGTCATCCAACGCTTACTACATCAATTCTGAAAATAGTATATCAACATGCTTCTTCGTAAGTTATTCTGTCTGCTCTGTTTACTCATGCCTCAATTACAGCCATGAATACTTTCTGGCCAGTTCTGATTGGGTGAAAGTAGCCAATGTCAACGCGGCCATTAGCGAGTCTCGCACTAAAAACAACATGGAGTTCCAAATTCAGAAAATGACTGAATTATTATCCATCAACATTAAATGGAAATTGATACTGTGAGAAAAGTTTTCCCAAAAACAAGATATCATTTCTCTGCTTCTTAGTGATATTGTTGCTGATTGGCTTACGGGACTTTTCGATTTGGTCGGTGGAAGCACTCTCAACCATTGGTACTGCAGTCAACCACTGGTTAAGAATCTATACACTCAACTCCAAAAGAAACTCTTACTGGGATGTGGAAACGAAAAGTAAGTGTTTTCACGTGATTCATTTGGAACTGATGTGTGACCTTGCTGTTTTCCAGACTGCAGACATTAGTAAAGCGTTTTGAGCCTTTGTCCGTCGCGACGGAATCAGAAGCCATCGACTACGCCATAACAACAGTACGAACGGTAAACAAAGAATTGTTAGTAGAAAAGAATAACTGAGTAAACTCGTTTAGATGCGACAACTAGATGTGAATGAAGGAGCCAAAATGTGGAGTCGGCTAGATACCAAAAATTTCATTAGGTAACTATTCAATTCAATCAATAAGCTTTATATGGAAGAGTATGTCTTCGATATGTTAATGAGCCTTTCACCTCTATTACGACTAAGCACATTATTATGTGCATTCGTATGACAAGATGCACATTTCCGTCCTGCCTCTCTATAGAAAATTATTCAATGACCAACTTGTGTCCATTGTTATAGTTCGGACTGCATGTCGGGAAGTCTGTCCCGACATCTCTCTCTCTCTCTCTCCTGTTTATTCATTCAAGCTCAATTATCACTTGCTTTTTTAGCTCTTTGATCATTAAAAATTCTTCTTAGACTCCTCCCTTCCACTATCATCGCACTTTGTTTAGATGTGGATTGAACCCGAAAGGATGGGATGCTTGTGAGATGCATCAAGTACGCCTCAACTCTTCCTGCATAGGACCTGATGACTTTGTTTTTCTCACGGATTTTCTTCTCAAACGAATCATGTGTTCTTACAAGAAAAATCCGTTAGTTAATATATGTTTTTTCTTCTACTCTCACTCTTTTCAGTCAGTGCGATGATAATTGGCTGATCGATTCTGTGCAACAGATTTGTGGAAAAGTTATTGGGAAGAATGCAGGTTTCGACGAAAGTTCATTTGATGAGGTTGGACAGATTCAATAACTCGTGATGACCCAATCTATTCAGAAATGGAGATGGGTTTTGGCGCAGTTAGCATTCTTCTGTGTAGAGAATAAGATGAAAACACCTCTAGGAAAGCCAGTAGACACATTCCAACAATTCGGAGGTCTGTCTAATCATTCAAATGTTTTTAAACCAGAGTTTAAGCTGAGATTCATCGTCTTGCCAAAGAGGCTTTGGGAGTAGTTCCAAAAGTAGCCGAGAAAGCCACTGAGAGGAGTGTGCCAAAGAAAGCACACAAAGACAAAGACGAAGATGAAGATGATGACTATGGACTTACAAGGTGATGAATTATATAGAATCTAAGTGTAACACAGTGCGTTTCAAGACCTCTCACCTCTTCTGAAGAATGGTTTCGGGTTCGCTGTTTGCTAGAATTTTTAGATGTTTTGGATAAAATAATGTTTGTTGCTCATAGTGGTTCATTGTACCCAATTGCAAACATGAGTCAGGTTCGTTCGCCATATATCTTAGCCCAAATCCCATGTGAAATGTTTTCAGCAAGCTCGTCAATTTTTCACAATGAACGTCGGAAGTTGTCAAGAATGGCTGAATCGTGTATATTCTTCAGCCATGGTTGTTGCCTATCATAATGGCTACTATGCTCAAGTACGTTTACTATCGGCTACTATCTATATTCTTCTCAGGTTGTGAGATTTGGTACCGCTGCCCTGTCGGAGTTTGAACGAAAACAGAAAAAAGCTGAACAAGAAGCGGAAGAGAAAAACCGTGAGTTGCATTTTCTTCTTTCTCTGTTCATTATCAGTCTAATATATAGAAGAATTGAAAAAAGTTGTGCCTTCGGCAGGATACGTAGTGTTAGGTTGGCTAGCACGAGCTATGGCTGAGTTAGGAGCCGAGCAATCCGCTAGAGGCTTGAAGAAATGGGCTATGCAAGTTTACAATGTGGAGTTAAACTGGTTAGACGGAATAGCAGAAATGGCTGCCGGACAGTTAGTCTTTTGAACTTTTACCACAAACTTGATTCGTTATAGCTATGAGTTAGCACTGAGTAAGTTAACGTTCTCTCTTGAACGGGACTCACTACCCGATGTTACAAAAGTTTTGCTGCGCCATATCGTTAGTTTCTCTGTTTCTTAATTTCGCTTACAGTTTTCTTTAAAGGTATTAGACATATTGAGAATCTTGCGTCTTCCGGACTTGTTAGATCATAGCTCTTGTCCACCAGATATATCAATCTTGTCGTTACCACCAGGTCAAATGAACACTGATTATATCCCCGAAGGGTTTGAAGCAGATGCTTGGGAGAAGTGAGTTTTTAACTTATAACTTACGATTTTTAAACCACACATACGTTTCAGAGTTAAGAACTTGTGCTCATTTACAATTTTGGATAAAGTCGGCCCCGCTAGTGTCTCATGGGATGTGACACGTATGGTCGAACACAAGGAGCTGACATTGATGCAGACATTGAGACGGTAAGAGGGAACAATGAAAGCTGTCAACATTTCATGATCAGGGTTGACGTGCAAGAGATCAAAAAGGATATGACCAAGATTGGGCATCTCGTGTTCTGTTATGATTCGGGACAACGTCTCGCAACCAATCTCGCAACTTTGGACAGAATCTTCTCAGCTGTTCTTGGAAAAATGTCTCGAGAAGTTCTTGAGGTGTTGTTCAAATGATCTGACCTTCATAATAATGTGTTTCCAGACTGTTATTGATGACTTATCAATTCAAACGTTGTTCACTGAATCCTCACTGCCTGATTTGGGATTGAGGTTCTCACAATGCGTGAAACTCTTGTTCTGGGCTGATCGCTTAGCACTACGCAGTATGCATTCGTTCGAATAAATACCAACTAAAGTTCTTATTTCAGCTGGCTTCCCTAGAGACTTTTATCGCGAAGCTGTTCGTTTGGCTAGAAAGTCTGGTAATGTACTCTCAGCTAACGCTATTCTGCACAAGTTCCGAAACTATCCTACAACAGCTAGTAGCTCTTGCTTCAAGACTGCTATCCAAGAGATCAAATTGGTAAGGCGGTTTCGAATGTCTGACATAAAAATTATTTTCAGAACTTGATGGGTCCCAGAAGTGTTGCTGAGAAGCAAGACCAGCTGGTGAGACTGTCCAATACTCTCATTATGGAGCTTCGTATACAACAGCAGAACCGTATGGCCTATTATAACTTACCAAACGTGAGTACTATTTATTTTCAAAAAAGTATTCACACTTTTATAGAAGGAACTAGACTTGGAGGACAAAAGTCTGAATGACGTTATTTCCTCTTCCTGTCTTCTCCTTGCCAAACTCTTGGAGGATGAGAACGTCGGAGCGCCCGTACTCAAAAATAATGAATTCAAAAGCTGCTGGGTTAGTATGAGTCTGTTAGAAATTATATTTGTCATTTCTGTAGGATGAACTGAAGTTACCTTGTTTGTTCCCCGATGCTCGACCTGAGAATATTGTCTACGGTTTCTTGTCGATGGCCACTGTCAGCTCACCACGTAATGCCAAGGCTCATCTTCGCCTAGCTGATTGGGTTTACAAAGTTGCGACAACACCGGAAGAAGATAGAACACTATTCGATATCAAACAAAAGGTTGAAAAGTTTAAATGCTCATAATGAAGTTAATTTTTAGTTGACTTTGGGATGTGAGCTTTCACAAACTACCTTAGATGGTTTATGGAATGCTTGCATCAATTCCAATTCAACTACCAAACTGCAAAGAGATGCTCTGGCAGCATTGGGAGGAGATGCAGAGGCAGCGAATTGGTACAGATTTAACACTTTTCTTCGAATCATTCCTTTCTCGTTAAGCCTATTAACACCGGGGTCTCATTATATGAAGTTCTACCAAGCTCGTGATGAACGTGTAGCTAGTTTACTTCCTTACGCAATCCGCGAATATTTCGAATTCTTGCGACTTTTGGATTATGACAAAAACGTAAGTTGAAAGTAAAATATTATGAAATACTGTATATCTCAATAACAGAAGTCGATCGGAACAGTATCGGCGGCTCTGAGAATTCTTGGAATGATTGTCAGATATCCTAGTCTCTTGTCGCGAGATATCGTGGATGGACTGTGTACTGTTTCTCCTCATGTTTGGAAAGACATCTTACCTCAGCTGTTCTCACGGTTATCTCATCCTTCTGAAAAAATCAGACAGACTATCGTTCTTGTCATATCTAAAATTGGTGAGTAACATAAATATGATTGCTCCTCTAACCATGTTTCTTTCAGCCTTAACCTCACCTCATTCTGTGATATTCCAAATTATTTCTGGAGCTTCTTCTACAATGGTTGTTGAGTCCGACGACGCAATCGGCGCCGAAAAGGACGAAGATGACATAGCCACAAAAGTTTGAATAATCAAGCATACTTATTCATACCACATGTTTACAGGATCGTAGTTTAATGTTTAGTTGTTGCGAAGATATTGAGAAGCATATAGAACCTGAGTATCCTGGTCTAGTTAGAGATACAAGAGAATTCATATCAGAGCTTCAAAAAATCAATTTGTTATACGAAGAGAGGTGGGTTGACCCTTTTGAAGCTTTCCCATATCACGGAAATCTTAGATGGATGTTTGTGTTATCTCATTTGGATCATGAAATGAATAAGCGTTTGGATCAAATTAGAGTTGAAAGTTTGAGAACCATGCAAGCTGCCCATCTAGATGACAAAGCCAGGACAGAAATTGTGGCAGAGAAAACAAGGCTCATTACAACATCTGTTAGTGCATTAACCTTATACGTGAAAAACTTATTAATTCAATAGGTTTACCGAATTCTTTGGGATTTATATGAAAGAACGTGCCTTCAACCACCCAGCACTCCAAACGAGAAAGCCTTTGTCGATTCATACGGGGATCAGCTGAGGATTGCTTTTGAGAGCTCGAAAGCAAACAAGAAGAGTCCGGAAAAAGCTTGGTCACCATTTAAACAGGTAAAATCATCGTTAATTACTTCATTAATCCTGATCTGCAGTTACTAACCGCTCTCGTCCAGAAGAACTCTAGAGCAGGTCAAATCACACTACTCATGGAAAATATCTCGACTTACCTCGCCAACGTGAGACTTTAAACTATTCTTCCAAGCTGTACTTGTTTTTTACAGCTATCATCAAGCAATGTGCCAATTCCTGGACAAGAAAACTTACCGTTCGAGGATATTGTTTACATCAGTAAAGTTCGACCAACAGCTCAAGTTTTGGCGACCAAGACTCGTCCTAAGAAGATGTCCTTCGTTGGAAGTGACGGGAAGATGTATCGACGTGTTTACATTCATCAGCTTATCTAAATTTTTCAGGCACATTTTCCTCTTCAAGGGTCAAGAAGATCTTCATTTGGACGAGCGTATTATGCAGTTACTCAATATTTGCAACCTAATGTTACATTCGTCAACGAAGAGGTGACTATTGCATTCAATATCATTCATCACTAATGTTAATCAATTTAAGAAGTTGGCCAGCCTACAATGCCCGTCACTATGCTGTAACACCCTTAGGAACAAGATCAGGCTTGATCCAATGGGTCGTTGGAGCAACGCCCATGTTCTACCTATATAGAAAATGGCAAACCAGACAGGTTCGTTTATATTTTTTTTTCTTCTACTAAGTTTTAACTTTAAGGCTCAGCTCAAGGCCGACAGCAAAACTGGCGCTAAAGCTGTAGAGGCTGAGAGGCCTACTGACATTTTCCACAAAACGCTTCGAAGAGCTTTCGCTAGCCACGTTAGTTATATGATTTAACCTAGTCTGATCATCCGTTACAGAATGTGGACTCTGCCAATGCAGCTGATCGGTCAAAATGGCCTCATGACGTTCTGCGTGAAGTTCTAGAATCCCTTTTAAAAGAAACACCTAAAGATATTTTGAGCAGGTAAACTTATTTTGTCATATTCTGTGAATACTTTTTATAAAGGGAGCTATGGCTGAAATCTGGAGGAGGTGATACTTGGTGGCGAGTCGTCAGTCGACTAGCAAGATCTACTGCTGTTATGTCCATGATCGGGGCTATTCTTGGTCTAGGTGACAGGCATTTGGATAATTTGCTTGTCAACCTGGATACAGGAGATATCGTGCATATCGACTATAACATATGTTTTGATAAGGTTAGCAAAACTTCACATTCTTCATAAATGAATGCACTTCAGGGTAAAAATCTACGAGTACCTGAAACAGTACCGTTCAGAATGACTCAAAACATGGTATCTGCTATGGGCCCAACACAGTTAGAGGTTTTATCAACTACTGATCTTGCTGTATTACTAACTAATGTCCTCTCAGGGTACTTTCCGTCTTTCTTGCTATCATGTTCTCTCGACTTTACGAGATCAGAGGGAAATATTGCTAACAATATTAGATGCGTTCGTCTACGATCCCTTAGTCGACTGGGCTGCTAATGATCACTTAACATCTACCTCAGCTACCGTCGGAGTAGCAGTTACTCTTGCTGTTTACGGTATGAAAATATGTATTTTCATTTACTTTCTGATTTTCAGGCACTCATTTGCGAGCTTCAGGAGCAAAACCTGTTGCCCGCGAAATGTTCTCTGTGCGCGTTAGGGAACTAACAACACCATGGAAGAATAATTGGTAAGTGGTAGACATGTATTGAAGAGATGATGATTTGATTTAGTAACGAACTAACATTCGCACTCCAAAACGTGAAAAATGTGCTCAAGAGACAGATGGCGAACCCGAAAGATAATGTTTGGATGGCCTCTAATATTATTGAGCAGGACAGAGTAGAGGCTGGAAGACGGTTAAAACTGGCTATATCACAGCATCATCAGATGATGAAAGATGTCAGGCCTCTTCTCAGAGCACTTGCTACGGTATTCAAGAGCTGTTTTAAAAAAATAAACTCTTTTTTTTCAGTGCGATGAACGTTTTGCGAACTACACCAAAACGTATAGAGCAGTTTTCAGTGAGCCTTTGGTAAAAGGACATCTGCACCTCGATGCACAGGCGAACGATCTTACTGCTTGCATCGATCTGTTCCAAACTGTTTTGGATAATATTGAGATGTATGACATCTTGAAGTCACCTATTATTTTTCATCTCCATCTTTACAGTGTATACTCCGATCTTCTCTTACTGAACAGTAAAGCAGAGAGTTCTTCTACTTCTAGTTCACCATCGATTCAATCTACGTTCAATTTACAAAACCTATCGTTGGATACGTTTGCTTCGAAGCAGGAACAGGAGCAAAACGCACATGCTCGTAGTATTGTGAAGAGGGTCCAAGCTCGCTTAGAAGGACATATAGAATCGGGCTCAAAAGTTCCATTAATATGTGCTGAACAAGTGAGCGACAACATTGGAATAACTATAAATTGATCTCTGTTTCTTACAGGCTGACAATTGGATCCGACAGGCCACTAACAAATCGTTGTTAGCTCTAATGTATGAAGGGTGGACGGCATGGGTGTGAATATGTGGCATTTATAAGACTCTTCAGTTGGTATTACACGTCGTCTCGAAATTACAGTACCAGAATTTCCAAGACAGACGAAAAAACGTGTAAAGTTTGTCGAACAAGTGTCGCTTTAAGGGTTACGATCCCTCAGTGCTATTGGTGTTGAGAAAAGGCTGAAGAATATCCTGATCAGACCCTAGTCGACCGCACTGATTTTTCATTTAAGCCTATTAGGCCGCCATTACCAACTTTCACGACCTCATTCCAGGATTATTCATTCATTTGTGTTATTGTAGACGGAAACAGAGTGATCTTCCTGAATTAAAATTGCATATCACCTGTTTTATAGTTACGTTTAATGTAAGGAAAACTCCCGGTTTTTTAAATTCATGTAACCAGTTAGGGGTATCTAAATACTCGCAGACCATCATATTTCCGAAGATTTCTAATCATAGCTAAATTTTTGTTTCTATTCCTATTAAGAGCAGATGATAAACAATGCATCAGAACTTAAGAGATTACAGTTTTCAGGGAATGCTACCGTTCTATACAATTTAAAATTTTAATTATTTCAAGAAATAAAGTTTTCTTTTCTTAACTTTAATAGACCATCGAACAGAGAGAGAGCAAAATGAAATGAAACATCCTGATTACATCTCTGCAGAGAGCATACACATAAATATATATTGATTGATAAAGAGCCAGGATTTTTAAGCATGTACTAGTGGATCGTCTGAGGCGTAACTGATGGTGCGTGTTGCGCGTTTGCAAAAGTGTATAAAAGAGTATAAGACGGCCGCCCGTAGCTCCGCCCCTCTATAAATTGTATTTTTTGAATATTATTTTTGACTTTGTATAGTATTATAATAACATTTTATACGTAATGATTAATATAAATAATTATGGAGATTATAGATACATTTGTTACGTTAAAAATTAAATATAAATAAGCTGTAATTTTCTCTTCCAAATTTCTTATTTAAGCCTTCATAAAAAGTGTGTGCCTGAACTGTTACTCCGTTCCAAAATTTCTTTTTATATCTCAAATATTATTAAAATGTTTTTTAAGGATGTCCCTGTCCTTGTTGACACCACGATTAGTCTCTGGGCGTTGCTTCGCTCAACTTGTGGCCATCAGAGCTTCATCTGGTGGAGCCGTCTTTAAGGTTTGTATCTTTTTTTACTCCTAATTTTCAATTTATGATGTCTATAGGCTGGAGATCAATCTTTGAAAATCAGCCAGCCCGGATTCTTCAAGTACGAGCGTGATATCTCTAGAGACAAGAAATACTCTAACCCCCAGAAGCCAGGAGATCTTCCCTCCAGGTATGGTTATTAGTCCTTTTTCCAGTGAACAAGTACATGTAACAGATTCCTTCTCCGCAAGCTCGGACATGCTTACGAAATCTATCCTCTTTTCATTCTTACTGGACTTTGGTTCGTACTCTTCTGTTATGTCGTCTACTATTCCTTCGAAAAGACTGAAATCTGGCTCGACAGAAGTATGTTATAGCTCCTGTGCATTGATTGATAACTGTATTTCAGGCCACAGCGTTGCTCCATGGGACTGGGAGAGATCTCGTGAGAACTACTGGAAGAAGCCAACTCTCGCGTAATTTTAGAATGCAGTTTCGTTTTGATATTTGTATCATTTTACAGTTTCGATTCTGAGGGAGTCACCAAGAAGAGAGTCGAACTTATGGAGATCCTTCAAGACGAGATGGTTGCTGCTGCTAAGCAAAGAGGAACTCGATAAATAGTTTACCTACTTTTGTAGAATTTGGTTGGAATAAACATTAATTACTAGTTTAGGCAAGCATGTTCATAAATTCTTCCAAAATAAGGCTTTATTTATCACAATACATATTTAAAGGCTTCGGAATGAAATACGAGGTAAAAGCTGATATGGATGATCGACGCTTAACGACTAGATTTCTCATAACTTAATGCTTGAATGAAAAGGCACGTTTCTGTACATGTATGTAAGATAAGAGCTATTCTACTATGGAGATACGTTCACATTCCGAGTTTAGTCTTCGAGTGCTCATGCTTTGAGCTCTGTTGAACGGCTCCGTACTTTTAGCTCTGGTGTTTTGTCGGCTTAAAAGGTTTCGTTCTTCCTCTTTCTTGACCTGCTCGAATTTGAGTGTGGACGGTTCAACTACATCAAAACGACCGTGATCACTCTTAAAGAGAAAATTGTGGACGATAAAAAGTAAGATGAATATACCTGTTTACTGCTCTGGTAGAATATCGTTCCTAGTGTAAGAACTACGAAGAATGCTATTCCTATTATAATGCATGCAATTGCATACAAGCTCTCTTTCGATCGACGAGGCTGTATTGAAGTTGAAGTAAGCGAATATTTAAATTTCATCTTACCTTTTTCACTACTTTCCCATCTTGCCCTAAGTATAACTCTTTCCCCTCTTGGAACTCTGCTTTGCTCAATAGTTGGCATCCGTGCATGTTAGCTGTTGTGCGGAAGTAAGGACAACCCTAAGAGGCGAAAGCTTAAATCTCAAACAACGTCTATATGTACCGTAGATGGACAGAAATATGTATCTCTAGAGAGAATAGCTGATGACAAATTGTATGAGCTACCAGCAATAAGTCTATTCCAAAGCCACTTTGTGGCATACATGTGTCCTCTTCGACTGAGCAGAGGCTTCTTTATAAGAAACAGTCCATCAGGAAAACGAGAAGTGATTGTCAACGATGGAATAGCCAGGACACCAAAAGTAGGGCTCTAGAATGCACATAGGGAAGCTGTTAGAAATAGAACAAACCTTGAACTCAGAGTTGTCCACATAATTTTGGATATCTACGAATACAGAGCTCCAGTTCTTCGCTAGTTCCTCAATTTTGTCATGTCCTGTTATACACGGACATCTCTTGCTAAATGTTTTCTGGGTTTATGAGGAATTCTTCGCTTCTGAACCTGAGCAAGTTTTCGTTTTGGTTGTGCATTGAAGCCACATGCAATGGTCCAAGCAAAACGACAAAGGCTTTAGGAATTCCACTTCGAAGAGTGTCAATCGCAGATGAAATGGCGTTGAAGTTAGCTCCACTACACCTCAGGCACATCTGCAATAGTTTCGTTGATATGATCTGAATCGAAAATTGGTCTTTTACATCTTCTGTTCCGATGGTGATGATAATCATGACCCATTCTTTCAAATAATTGACTTCTCTGAGAACACTCAGTCGCCGTACCAGTTCCTCTGCCTGAAGAATGAAAAATCGGTTTTCTCAATCATGTGATTACGGGCCTGTTCAACTAAATCGGTACTTGTAGCTCCACTTTCCGCCAAATTCAACTGATGTTCAGGTAACTGATCACTGGATCCCATGCCATGAGAAACCCCATGCAACAGAGGACTGAACTCTCGCAGAATATCTTAAGCAGAACCGTAGCATTAAACATGGTTTGCTTATCGATTACTAGGAACAGTGACTAAGCCATCGATAGTAGCATCTCCTCCAATGCTGAACGCAGCTCCTCGGAACTCAATGTTAGTTCTTGGCCACAAACCAATCCCTGTCTACAAAGTACTAATATGCTCTCCAAAGTAAGTTAATATCGTACGGAGAGAGCATCGCCCATAGCTGCTATGATTGTAACGTCTTCAGGACTAAGATCTCCCACTGATGTTCCGGTTATAAGATCGGTTTTAATTTGGGGGCATGAGAAGGTCTTTCTTAAATGTTTCCGTGTGCTCATCAGTCAATTAATTTATTAATTTACTTGTTTTTGAAAGAGCTTTCTATAAGCGAAGGAGATTGCTTTACTCCCAAAGTTTCATCGAAAAAAGTGTCTCTGTCAGCGTCACTGAAAACGTCTTCTCTTCGTTATAATGTCTTGTTGGAGAAAATACCCTTCGAACTCTTCCATTTCAATCGAACCCTCATCATCCTCCTCCTCATCACTATCGGTATGAGCAGTGGATTTTGTTGAAGTATGATTTGAAGAAAACAAAATTGATGTTTCGTTCACCGCATCTGAACCTGTTAGTTACTGTATTCGCTGATTGATTCACGAATTGCTATATTTGGAGTTGAACGACTTTTAGAAAGATAATATTAGTTTGAAACTGATTGCAACCAAATATACCAAATCAACACAAAGCACTAACCGGGAACGCTGGTCACAAGCCTGGGTACATCACTCACAGGAATGGTCAACACATTTCGAACAAGCAGCATGCATATTAATAAACGTAATAAGTTTGAATCCATAGTTACCCATACATGTAAAACTTCATGGAAGGAGATCCGTTTTAACCTAGGAGTATTACTATGCGAACGAAATTTGCCCTGGCAGTCTGCCAACAATTTCGTCTAGGCAGGGCTAAACTGCGCATCAGCTACGTTTGACCAACGATACGCAGCCCTTGACTTTGGCGAGAAATGGGGTTTTCTATATTTTCCGCTATTTTTAATTTAGATTTTTTTTGTTTTCTGATTTGTTGTTATAGTTTCATATGAATTATGAAATGGAGGATTTTTGAGTATGTGTATGTTGAATTTATTGGTTTTGGGCCGTTTTCTGACTTTTTCTTTCGAGTTTTCGTATCTCATTTATATCCATTTTTGAATTTTGAGTACCTGGGATGGTTTAGTAACGACATATCTTTGTAGGGTTAATCATGTCCACTCAACAAGATGAGGCTCATCTTGCTGATTTGAAGAAGAAGAGAACTTTCCGTAAGTTCACCTACCGTGGTGTTGATCTCGATCAACTCCTCGACATGTCCAGGTAATTCAGTAGTATATTTCTTGTCTTATTTTCTCCTTGTATAGAGAACAATTCGCTAAGCTCTTGCCATGCCGCATGCGTAGACGTCTTGCTCGTGGACTTAAGAGAAAGCACTTGGGTCTCCTCAACCGTCTCCAAAAGTCCAAGAAGGCTGCTTCCGTCCTCGAGAAGCCAGCTTGCGTTAAGACTCATCTCCGTGACATGATCATCCTCCCAGAAATGGTCGGAGCTGTCGTCGGAATTTACAACGGAAAGGTTTTCAATCAGGTTGGTACTTTCAAATGTTGATCGCTTATGCTAGACTATACTCCTTGACGGTATTCTATCTGTACTGTCGAGGGTTAATCTAGCAGATAAAATCCATGTCCATGTTTGGTTATTTTTGCGAATTACTTCGTGAAACCTTGCATGACATAACAATTAACTTGACTTATTCTGTTATTCTTCAGACTGAGATCAAGCCTGAGATGATTGGATACTATTTGGGAGAGTTCGCTATTACCTACAAGCCAGTCAAGCACGGTAGACCCGGTATCGGAGCTACCCACTCTTCCAGATTTATTCCTCTTAAGTAATTGTTGGATGTTGTTGAATAAACATTGTTTAAAAGTTCTGTCACAAGTTCAATCAATCAGTCACTACAGGCTAAATCACTAGACCTCGTCTTGGTGAACTAAAGAGAAGCACTTCGGTCTCTTCAACCATTTACAAAAGTCCACGGAAGCGGCTTCACTTCACAGCAAGACATCATTCGAACTTACCTGTCTGATCTGATCTGATTGCAGCAATTTGCACCGGGAAAATCTCTGTCCAGGTTAGTGGTTTTCAAGTCGTCGTTAATGGAAGAGTATCCTACATAGTTAAGTGCTGCAGGTGTCCAACATTATTTTGCATGTGTCTCAATGCAATTGATACGGAAAATATCTCCCCTCCAAAAAAAGTGAAGAGAGAAACGTGGATTCAGAACTGTGTTCCCACCTGTATAGTGGGGCTCGAATGGTTACTGAAAATCAATGAAATTCAGAGATGATCACTCTAATCTTTGACTTCATCAATGAAAGCGTTCTGTTCTATCATCTCACATCCACTATCATTAGTAAATTCAGATACTCTGCCCTTCAATGTATGCAAATCCTCTTACATCGCTTGCAACACTGTTCCCTTTGAATGGCATTGAGAATATATCTTTCGCGCATTTGAAGGGCTGTAAATCGTATATGGTCTCGTAGCGATCTCAATGTTCTGTCCTCGATTAGCACTACCCTCCATATACAAGGTTCTCGATGTGCGTGCGTAGCGCAGAAGTGTAGTGTTGTACGTCGGTACAGACACAATCACATTGTGCAATGTTTATATGTAGAAATATCATTTACTGCAAGCTAGAACCTTAATAGATTGTATAAAACACTGAAAACCGAGATGCATCAATAAAATACATGTTTACTAGATGTGGGGCACATCGTTTCAATGGAATAAAATGTGTCACATTATGATTTATGCATTGATTCTTTGTGTTTTTTTCTTACGGTGTTTTGTTGTGTGTATATTGACTATTTTTGTCTAATGTTGACTGTCTAAACTTCCTGATATTGTTTATACTTCTTTACTTCCTTGCTTATTAAGCATGAACACTACGCCACTCTTTAATACTCATAGAACGTGTGAGAAAAGTTTGTCAGCTCTTAGTCAGTTTCAAGAATCAATTGCTCACTCTTCAGCTCTATTCCTTTTCTGGTAAATCTCGTTTCATCTCTGTCAGGTAGTCGTACAGTACCTTTTTGTCTTTTCTCTTCTTAAAAGCATGTTGAAGGAACTCAAAAAAATGTTAAAGTTCTTTATTTTGGCTCGAATTTGCTTATTGTGAGAAAATTGGCGAAAGCGGATATGTTTAAATTGGAATGAGGAGGCGAAAAAGTTGAAAAATGTACTCATTCAGTGCATGCGGTTGTGAATCCGTTAAAGGACTGCTGAGCGAAGACTGAAAATAGTCTCGCCACGATCTCAAAATTTTGTCCTCGATTAGCACTCACCCTCAATCTATACCAGGTTTTTGATGTGTGCGTAGCGCAAAGGTGTGGTGAAATATGAAAATGTGTAATGAGCCTTCAAATGGATCCTTCTTTAGCTCCAGTCATGTTTGGTGTCTTCGATTTTTCTCTTTAAATGCCATTTTTGCCACTTCACTCATGCTTCTGCCATCTTCATAATCAATATTTAATATCGTTGCCGTTTGAAAAGCCCATTTCTACAAAGCGGCTTTTTAGCATAGATCAGCTGATCAACAGAGGTTTGCTTCTGCAAAAGGCATTTGTTCAAACGCCACAACATACGTGATAACAATAAAGATGATACGCCATTTTGTAAGCTAGGTGTTAAGTTTTTTCGAGCAAACTTGCTAAGGGTGTTTTGACTTTGATGGAAATTGGTGCATTCTTCCCTCTTAGGGACTCCTCCCTTCCGGTGAGTTTTTATCTCGTTATGCCTTAGTGTTTGAGTATAGATTAGTGAAACAATCAATTATTGAAAGCATTATAGGAGCAGCATGCATGCATGTTTTCATCCCCCCTCCGAGAAAAGCTTTAACCGAGCTTATTCATAGCCGAGGAGAGGAAATCCATCAGGAAACAGCAGGTATATTCAAGCATTTTTCATTTTGAGCTTTATTCATTGAAGGCAAATCAAATATTCGTATATCACCAACTGATGTAATCATATTTTCTCGTAAGTCACATGTTGCAAATCAAAAATAACTTTCACTCCAGGTGCACGTTGAAGCTTTACGAGAACCAAGGAGGGTTGCCTGGGTTTTGAACGCTCTTAACCTAATGATGGTTTCGATGAGACATGAGGATTGGTTGAAGTTGAATGTTAAGCTAATTAGAGGGCTAATTATTCTTATCGATCGGTTCCGATTATTCATTGAGACATCCGAAAGGGTAGTTGGGTACGGAACCGGAGCTTCAACCAGTAACCATCGCGATACCAACGCTAGATGAGTTGTGAAGAGCGAACATGCACAACACGGAAGAGGATTAGGAGGGAATCAAGAGGGACAAGAGTTGATCCATGACATTATAACGTTATGAATCTGTTAAAATAGTAAACGTTTTTCATTATCTGTTCTGCTGTTAACAAACTGTTTTAAGCAGTATTGATTATCTCGTTAAACGCCAACACCGAAAACACGCTCAGTTGACCCGAAAAAACTCGGAACCCAACTCGAGTTCATTTTTGAAATTTTGAGCCATTTCTATAGCAATTGGGGTCTTTTGAGCCTAAGTTTTGCCTAAAAATAGTCAGAACCATTAGTTGATCTTATCGTTGTTTTTCTTGATTCTTTGCATGCTTTATATTGTTCGTTGTGAGTAGATATATATCTTTCAGTCTCTTACTTTTCGCAATCATATAGCATGAACTGGCTACCAAATTGATTGAGTTTCAGGCCCGGGTGCCCGCTTCGGGATGGCTTGTCTAAGAAAGTTAAAGGAGGATATTGCTGTGTTAGAAAGTCTATTCCCCAAGAGCCATGAGCGAATGCAGGTATGTCAATTAGCATATTTCCATCGTTCATCCCATCATCCTTTGCAGGTTCTTGTCGCTTCCGTGGATGAAATTTCGGTAAAGTTCATTGATAATTCAGGAAAATCTATAATCATTAATGCAAATATTCAGGTGCTTCTAGTCTTTCATTTCCATATTGAACACACTATCATTTTCAGGAAAATTATCCGAGACAACCTCCTATATGGTTCAGCGAATCGGATCATCCCGCTGTTGGAGCTACGTTGGAGAAACTGACGGAAACAACTGAGCCGACCACTATCCTCTACCAGGTAGCACGTGTCACATGATTGTTTTTCTTATGCTATTCTCTTAAGATTCATAGGCTACTTTTGGAGCTATGCAATCAATTCAATTTGAGCCTGCCATCAGAAATAGTGCGACTCGACCCTCGCAAAGAAATAGAACGGGATGAAGGCCAAGGTAGCGATATGGAGAGCGACGACGACCAAATCAATGTGGATGATGTAAAACCTTTTTCTCGTGCACGAGCAAAATGGTCACGTTTTTACAGGTAGTTGAAATGGCTGATGAAACTACACCAAGTGGTGTCGATGAAGACGTGGCACCTGAAGGTATTCAAGTATTGGATAGGATCAGTAAAGTAAATCGACAACAACACTTGTCAGGAATGGTAAGAAATTGCAGTCGTTTCGTCAGGTTCAACCTATTGCTTAAGGTACAAGGGTCGGTGACAGCAACAGATCGTCTTATGAAGGAAATCAGAGACATATATCGTAGCTCTCATTACAAAAATGGTAATGTCGTTTTTCATCGAAGCCTCTAATTTCCTTATGCAGGTGTTTATACTATTGAGCTTCATAATGATACCAATTTATATGAATGGTGGGTCAAGCTATATAAGGTAAGCACCATCTGTTCATGAATTTTCTAAACTCATGTGTGAAGGTTGATTCGGATAGCCCACTAGCAGCTGATTTGGTAACACTCGCTCAAGAGCAAAAACAGGATCATATTGTATTTCACTTTGTATTTAACGAGAATTTTCCAATGGAGCCTCCGTTCGTCAGATTGGTCTCCCCCACGGTATGCTAGATCGGAAACTGGATTATGATAATCGAGAGTTCCAGGTCCAAAATGGATTTGTATTGGGTGGTGGAGCGATCTGTATGGAGCTTCTAACGAAACAAGGCTGGTCTTCAGCCTATTCTGTAGAATCAGTTGTTTTACAAATCGCGGCAACTCTAGTCAAAGGCAAAGCCCGCATCCAATTCGATAATAAGGTTTGAGTTAGTTTTGTTGAGTCAAATAACCTTGTTTGTACTTCCAGGGACAGTATTCATTGGCTCGTGCGCAACAGTCCTTTAAAAGTCTTGTACAGATTCATCAAAAATCTGGATGGTATACTCCTCCTAAGCAGGAAGGCTAAATTAACTCAAAATATTCATTTCGCTCTTGTCATTCATGTGCAGATTTCATCTCATCTTTACAGTAGATTCGATACTTTTCAATAATTGTAGCTGTTGCAATCAGTCAAACTTTTATAAGCTTATTTTAACCTTCATGTTTCCATGTTTTTATCGTAGATGATGTATTATATTTTTGGATTATTGTTCTGTAATTGACATGACCCCTTCATGTATATTCGAAATTTCTAGCATTCTTTACAATCTTTCATCTCATGCGGGGTATGCGAATGACTCCGACAGAAGCACTGTTTACACTCATTCGTTTTTTTGGTGATTCAATCCGAGTTTTTAATTTTTTTTTCTTCAAAATATATGAATTAAGGCTGTATGTTCAGACTCTGTCTATGTGTCATGGGTTCTTAACCCACTTATTACCTTTACCAAGTGTTTTATAGACTTGCCTTCATTTGCATATCCTTTGCGGTGCTATTTGCGCACTCCTTTCTCGGACACGATTCTAGCTCTTGATGAGCGTTTGATACGATAGAGTAGGCAGAATCTATCATTATTAATACTCAATAGAGCTAGAATGGTGAGGAGGTGTGTTCGTATCATTCACAACTGTTTCATCCACTTGTCACAAGACGCAGTCGATCTCAGATCTCATTTCAAAACATTTATTTTCAGCAGCTCCCAACAACCGATGTCTCATATGGGGCGTTCAGATCACCCAGTGATATACCATCCAAATGGAGTTGTATCTCATCAAGCCCCTCCGCGACCACAAGGTTTGCTTGACCTCACCCATTTATTGTTCATGTAATTTTTTTTAGTGGTAATGCCCAGGCCATTACATGCTGGCGTCAGCTATATGCAGCATGCTCCTAGTTTAAACTTGGCCGTTCCTATAAGAGAGCCAACGCCCGAGCCACAAGTACGTCCTTGTTATTATTTTGTTTTTACAACATTGACACATTATTATAGATTGTTTCAAAAAGTGAAGCAGAAGATGTGGCTGAGCCTACCACCGCCAATGACGATGACGATGGCCTGGAAGATGGCGAAATTGACATACAGGTTTTTCTTCCAAACCGTTGTAAAGTTTTAATAACTGTCGTCTTTACCAGATAAGGAACGTGGTTTGTAATTACACACTTCCTCTACATATTGATCTTCGGAAGCTCGCACTTTGTACAAACAACGTCACTTTCGACCGTGGCCGTGGAGTGAGTTTGAACTCGAGTTTGTTTTTATGAACTTTCATAGGTACTTTTGAAACAAAAACGTAACCCCAATTGCTATGTCAAAATATACAGTTCTGGAAAAGTGTATATTGTGGGTTGTAAGAGGTACGATCCCCCTTTTTACACGTCTTATCCTTATTTGGCTATTGTTTTAGTGAAGCTGATTGTATGACTGCTTCACGATCAGTTGCTCGTAGAGTTCAAAAAGCAATGCAGAAGCTACATGAATCAGTAAAAATACGAAACTTCAAGGTTGTATTTGTACGTGATTCATCTCTTAACCGAATTTCTCGTTTAGGTGTGTAACGTGTTGGCCACATGTCGCATGCCTTTCGGAATCAAAATTGAAGAGGTAGAAGGGATCTTACGTGAAACAGTTGTTATGCAAGTGGTTACTTTAAGTTAGCTCAAAAATATCCTGCTCAATCCCAATATGAACCTGAGTTGTCTGTGGGTCTAGTCTGGAGGTCAGAACAGCCCAAAGCAACCTTAAGGATACACACAACAGGCAGTATAACAGTCACTGGAGGTAAGCCTTTCAACCTTTTCCTGAATTTCGTTGGCGATCTGTTCCCCATTTTTGATGAAATGTCCAAAAAAATGGTTTTATGAAACGCCTATATAGAATGCCACTATCGGGCTCGCACCCTAAAGAGTTAAGGGTAGTGTAGATTGGAAACTGGCGACAACAACCAGAAAATGCTGATTAGCTTATTTTTCTTTTACAGCATCATCCGAAGCTGATGTTATGCAGGCGATTGAGAATATTTATCCGATAGTCCGGCAGTTCCGTTGTGCGATGCGTCACAGAGAGAACCAACCAGCGAAAACTGTTAGAAAGCGGATAGCTCCGTCCGTTCCGAGGTACAACTTGACGATGATCAAAGTTAATTAGTGCTTTGTTTTTTTCAGACAACCACCTGTCAAACGTTTTAATAATTCCCCTCCCCAACGTACTTCTGGATTGATAGGTAATAGGGTATACTTTAGTGATGAAGATGACGATTACGATGATGATATGGAAGACGTTGTTTAATATTCCAAAAAGTGTTACGTGATTTATAAAATTTGCTTTCATTGTACCTTTCAATCCTCATTTTTGATATAGCATACTTCCCCTTCCACTTTCCATGAGTTTTATACGGTTGCTGTTAAGAAGCTATGTTCACTATTTCACCGGTATCTTTCAAATTAGGATATTACTTCATTTTAATCGCATCATATATCATCGTAAGATTGCATGTGTTCACAACATGATTAGATCATTTAGTATTATTTCTCTGATTTGTATTTCGTTCTACACGTTAGTTATTAGCAAGTTACTGCAGCTTTGCAACTATTGAAAAATGTGATTGCCTTATAGAGGACATTTTTCATTTGTTGCCAATAAAGTATTTGTTCGTAACGTAACATTTATATAATTTGTTCTTGACAATTTGATTCTATCTTGGGCAAAGTTTTGGCTTCAAACATTTTCACTCCCAACCCTCGCGAAAGTTGTTCCTATAAATGTATGATTTATATAAAATTTTTTATAAGATGCGCCTTACCAAATGCTCTAATTGACTCTTCTTATATACAATACCATCCAAGTCGTCACACATATACATATGAGCTCTCTCTGGATCACCCGCTACTTGCACAGGTTTCGATGGATTCATCTAAATATCAAATATGATTTCTATCTTAGACTTTGGACTTTGATACAACCGCTTCAAAGGACATCATTAAAACAAAATGACACTTTCTGTCCCACGTGAAGCTCCACGTGAAATTCCACGTACAGATGGCGTGGATTTCTTTTCTCAAAAACTTCAGATAACTTACCGGCGTCAAATTTCTTGTTTCGTCTAAGAATAGTTGCATTCTTTCTGGAAAACCGGGCGCAAAACATTCTGGATCAATGACTATGAAGCATTGTCCCTACAGCAATCATTACTTGAAGAACAATCAAGACCGAGCAACTTACCAAGTCAGCGTTAGTTTCCGTTGTCTGCCACTGACGAATGTTTTTTCCGAAAGCAGATCCGGCCAAAATGCCACATAATACTTCTACCATCATGCAAAGGCCAGTTCCTTTGTATCCACCTGATATCATTAGATGAGCCTACGAATGAGGAGCTCTTAAACCTGTGTTCTCTTGACCACCAAGAGGAAGAAGCCCTCCACCGTTCAGAACTTCCTTTGGATCATATGTTTCTACTCCGTCAGCATCGGCACCCCAGCCAGGTGGGATTCTCTTGCCACCACGACGGTCAACCACTTCAATCTACGACGTGGATTCTTTGTTTCAACTCTTTCATAATGATACTCACCTTTCCATAGGCAACAGTAGTGGACGCCATATCAAGGAAGAAGTTATCCCCATCTTTTGCAGGAGCTGCCATGCAAATAGGATTGGAACCTAAGCTCTTCTCAGCTGAACCAGTTGGGAAAACACATGGAGAAGTGTTAGTGAAAGCCATACCCTAGAATCAACAAGATAACTAATGTTATACAGATGGGTTTACGATAAGGCCATGCTTCATAGCATATTCCGCGTACCATCCAGCAATGCCGAAATGGTTTGAGTTCCGAGCAACAACAAATCCAATTCCATGTTCTCTTGCCTAAACCATTATGTTTTACACAAAACGTCCTTGTTGCTGTTCTTCAGTTTGAAAACAAAAACAAAAGCTAAAATTGACTTTCTGAACTGCTAGCCGAATGCAGTAGTTGCCAACGACTGGACCAAGTAGGTTTTTGCCGTCAACCCAAGCTGTTGATGCCTTCTCTTTGATTACAACAGGTTCGCCTAAGAACTTTGGGATTAGGATGGACGATAATGGACAGAAAAAAAGAGGGATAGAGAGAGCGAGAGACTCTAGAGTGCAAGCCTATGGAAACATTTCACAGGGCAAACGTGAAAGAAAAACGGAAATGGACTGCGATAAGAGATGTGGAAAAAATGGAAGAGAAGAATTGGATAGCAAAGGACAGCGTCATGGGTGAATTCGATATCAGATTTCTTATTGCAGTATTCATGAAGATATTAGTAATTAACGAACCTTCAATATCAGTTGATCTTTCGGCTAAGTCACGCACATAGATGTGAAGACGGTTCAATCCGTGCGAGTAATGACCTCTGCGGAAGATGAAGAATAGTTGTTAAGATATCAGTAACAAACAAACCTGTAATCGGAACATATGAGAATATCAGCCAACTGTTGGGCATGATCATCAGAGCATTTAACTTGCTTCAAGCAGTCAAGGACAAATCGTCTCAGCTGGAAATGGTATATAGTAACTACACCAGCTAACAAAAAATAACTTTTGATACTCTGTTTCTTTTGTTCGTTTCGTCTTTCTTTCTCCTTCGTTTTTCGTTTTTCTTTTTCTTTTGCAAACTAAAGGTCTTGAAAATATAAAATGCAACTCGAAACTTCTGACTTTACAGGGTCGCATTGAAGCTTACGAAAGACGGAAGAAGAAAAAGAAGGAGGAGAGAATGAAGATGAGGGAAAACAATGAAAGAACCGAAAACACAAACACAGCAAATAAAAACAAAAACACAAACGTCTTTTTTCGAAACGACAACTTCCTCAGACTCATTGAAACTCTTCTTGATAATCATGGTCTAAAATACGCAATTATGTTTGAAGTAGACAAAAATAATATTTTAATGCGAGAGAGGAAGATAGAGAGAAAGAGAAAAACAACAACAACAGCAATCAGCGAGGAATGAAAGCAACATACTCTGTTCACATTGAGAAAAGAAAAAAGAAAAACAGATAAGTCGAGGGACAGAAAGAAGTTGGAAGAATTAAGTAGTAGGAGGGGGGACTGATCTCATGTTGGAAACAATCAAAATCAGAGATGACTGACAGATCATATGGAACTGTCAAAGATCTCTGAAGTAACAAATGTACGCAAAGAGACTGCCGAATATGGTAGGGATAACTAGGAAATGAGCAAAAATGATGATAAATACAATTAATAGAGGTTCTGCCTTTCTGTCTCCTTCTCTCTCTCTCTCTCTTACTCTCTCTCTCTCTCTCTCTTATGCTGCTTTTGAAGACGATGAAAACGAAGGGAATGATGATGGAAGACAATTTATAGCCTTTATAAGGGCGTATATCTTTTGAAAATTCTTTCTGAAATATTCCTGATTACATCTGTCTGTGTTAAATATTTTTGAAATTGCTTGAACTCCTAAGATGTCCCAGACAACTTTATAGAGCTGGTTCTTCATCTTTTTTTCTCATATTCTCTTTCTTCATATTGTATTTGCAATCATTTCTATATTTAGGCATATCAATCCAGCGCCCCCACCTCCCGACCAACGAAACTGAACCCAAAGTTCTCTGAAAGTCACTTTAAATCAAATTTAATTTTTATATCATGAAAAGCAGTTATTGATTCATGCTCCATCATCACAATTCAAAGTCTTAGCCACTTAGGTGATACAGAAGTATGAAAGACAAGATATGAAGTTGGGGCAGAAGATTGAAATGATATTTTCCGTTTTTGGACAGAAAAACATACGCAACTTCAATCATCTTTTTTTCTGTTTCATTTCCGTTGATAAGATGGTGTTGATCATCAGAATTTGGTAATGGAACTTTTCTCTTTAATATTTCACATTTTTGTACTTTAATCGCTTCTTCTAACATATATATATATATATAAATTATATTTTTGTATGATTTTTCTAACTTTCATTATCAATCTTCTGTTTATCAATCAATTTACCGTAATTAGCATATTGCGTACTTACGTAAACGTCAAACACGTATTACGCAACTTCATTTTAACTTTAATGTCACATGAGATCGGTTGATCATGAACATACTATAAGTCATTTAGTTAAGTTTTGATTTCTTTTTAGATTGATGTCTTATCTCTGTTCAACCACATATGGCCATCGAATGAGACGATCTTCAGCTTCTTCTGGTACTATCAATAATTAATTAATTTCTCTTTTATATTCTCTCTCTGTAAACAGGATATGCACAAACTGCTCTCTACTCTCTATTCCATTAGTGTGCATGTCGGAATGCACCATCTTTCATAACTCTCAAATTCAATAATGACCATCAGTCAGGAGCAGATTACCTATGGTATGTCGTAAATCTTGTTATATCACTTGATTTATTGAGAAATCAATCCTTTTTTCGTAATGTTATTTGAAAGTTTAATTAGCGCAACTTTCATAATAATTAATTTAATCGAAATTAGCGAATTCAAGATTGTTAGTGTTTGTGAGGGAAATTTTCCGTTTAAAAACAGAGAGTAGTCAAAAGTACTTTTGAAGAAGAATTTCGTTGTCTCTGCATTCTCTCTTCTATTTCTTGTGTTAATATTTCTAACTGCCTCAAGTCTTTGTTCAATTCCTGTGTGTTGTGTGTGCTGCGTCTGCGTCAGCTTTGAGCTCTTTTTAATTTTTTTGATTTCTAAGTTCATATAGTTCTATCTCTCTCTAACTGCCATTTGCGCTAGTTCTATTCATTGTGAAATAATATAACTTCTGCTTCATGCTCAAAGAGCGTATAGACTTATTGAAGTTGTAAGAATTTTGGACAAGCAAAATACATTTAGTGTGAGAAGCACGTGATACAAGCAAAATGAGTGTGCGTCAAAGCCTGGAAATGGTTCGACTATTAGCACCACCACTCTTCTTCATATCACGCGTTTTCAACAATTCGATGCGCTCGTTCATTCCATTTGCTATATTGAGACTCAAATCTCTAAATTTGGTTGAAAACACAACTAAGCCTTGGTCTAATAGTACTATGTACTTTGAATGATCGGACAGATATTGAAAAAAAAAAGTATAATTTCCAGTAATATGGTAATTGCTTATTACTATAATAATTCGTTCAATGAAACATGCCTTCTACTCCTGTGTAATGTTTGAAAAAAAAACTGCCTTTAAAAAGCTGTCACTTAATGAGTTTGCTTGGATTCCGTGTCCCGTCGCGAATAGTCCTTTAAAATTCGGCCGTGTGGAATCAATAACCTAGTCACACGCCCAGAATGCCCGTGTCTCTCGCATCGATTCTATGTTTAGTTTATGCTCTGTTTTAAAATAATTCTCTTTGGAAATTGTTCATTTTGTTAATTTTCAAGACTATTCTTATTGCTGCCGTCCATTCATTTTTCATATTTAGCTGATACGTGAAGGTTCAAAAAGTCATGTCGTATGCCTACCTGTTCAAGTATATCATCATTGGTGACACCGGAGTCGGAAAGTCGTGTCTTCTTCTTCAGTTCACAGACAAGCGTTTCCAGCCTGTTCATGACTTAACTATTGGTGAGAATGCGCCAACTTTCTATTCAAGTTTGTTCTACTTCAGGAGTCGAATTCGGTGCTCGCATGGTCACCATTGATGGCAAACAAATCAAACTTCAAATCTGGGATACTGCTGGTACGTTGAACACACAAAAGACCTGAAACGTTAAATCGTTTTAGGCCAAGAATCTTTCCGTTCAATCACTCGCTCCTATTATCGTGGAGCCGCTGGAGCTTTACTCGTATACGACATTACTCGGTAAGAGACCACTTGATGATTCATGGATTCACATAAATTATTTTAAAGCCGAGACACTTTCAATCACCTGACTTCTTGGCTTGAGGATGCTCGTCAACACAGTAATAGCAACATGGTCATTATGCTTATTGGAAATAAGAGGTTTGTTGATATTGCCATTCCGGTCTAAGATGCAATGTGACCTTTCAGTGACTTGGAAGCTCGACGGGAAGTAAAGAAAGAAGAAGGAGAAGCTTTTGCTCGTGAACATGGACTCGTCTTCATGGAGACTAGTGCTAAGACTGCTGCCAATGTTGAAGAGGTATAATCTTGATTAGCTGTAATACCAAACCATCAACCTCATTCAGGCTTTCATTGATACCGCCAAAGAAATTTACCGAAAAATTCAGGAAGGAGTATTCGATATTAACAATGAGGTGAATCCATTTGTGCTTTTGAAATTTAGAAATATTATTTTTCCTGTTCTTACGAGTTGACCAATTGTTGTTGCAGGCTAATGGAATTAAATTGGGACCACAGCATTCACCAAGCTCGCCATCTGCGCCTGGTGGAAACGCTAGCGGAGGATTAGGCGGGCCCAATTGTTGCTGATATGGCAATTCATGGTGTCTCCTGATCAAATCTTATTTCATCCCACGACCCTCTAGTCTATTCTTGTCGATATAGCAATGTCCGTTCTTCTCGGTTGTGTGAGTGTGCGTGAATGGTTTGTTGTACATTAGTGTAATTGCTGATTCCTATCTGTTCTTATCTGCTGCTTTTCTTTGAAAAGACATATGCGTCCTATTTGTCTGTTCACAACTTATCACCTTACTCGTGTCCTCCTGCCTTCTACTACTCCTCCTCCACTTCTTCCTCTCCTTGGTAATGATGTCTCCGCTTTTCTGTGATCGACATTCTTTTTGTTTGAAATATAACTCTTTTTTTTTTCTATTTTTTCTTAATATTTACTAATTTCTCCCCTTCCTACTCTTCTTCGAACTATCAGATTTCCCACAGATGAAGATTGCATTTGGACCTTATTTGCAGCTGCGCATGATGAGTCTAAAGCCGACTTTGAATCCGTTAGTTTGTATCGATTGCCCATCTGAAAAGCTGGGTTAATTGGTATAATAGTAGAGCTCTGAAGTTCGTAAACTAAATAATTTTAATGGATCATCTATATTATGCAAATAAAGGTTCTATACATAGTAGTGTTTCCAAAGTTCGTTGTTCTAGGTTGCGTACCTTCACTATATTTCGTTTTTCTTTCTGTCATCAATACACTCATCTTCATCGTCACATAGCTTTTCTTGTTTTTCTTTTTTTTTCTAATTTTGTAGGCTTTGTCAGCCGTCTAAACCTCATATTTCGTGGAATTCAATCAGAATAGGTCAGCGAAGACCAAATTTCGCTGAGCTCTTCTTGATCTTCACTAACAAGATTAAAGTTTCCTTTCTCTTCCAGATGCCACATAAATCACTTTATCGTGCTTTATGTAATATCGCAGATAAGGTTGTTTATCCGGTCCTGCCAGCTTTTGCTAAACCTGCATGGAATCATCCGGCTGGACCGAAAACAGTCTTTTTCTGGGCACCTACTATCAAGTGGTCACTCATCTTTGCTGGTCTGGCTGATCTTGCACGTCCAGCTGATAAGCTCAGTTTTTATCAGGTGTGTTTATTTCCGACTGTTTTGCAACATGTAGAGGAAGCGAGTTTCTTCCTCCGTCTTTGGTCACATAAACTATGCAGAATGGGAGAATATAAACTATGCACATAGTATTATTACTTTTTATTATTTTTGTCAAATAAGAACTTCTGCCCTCGAGCCATAATATTCATATGAATGAGAGAGTTTTTGCCGCATTTGCTTTTTTGCTATTCATGTATGCAGAGATCGAAGTTTATTTTTAAAAAACCTTAATGTTTTCCAAATTTAACAAGATGTTTTGTGTCTCTCCACCTTTTCCTGCTTCTTGCCTCGCAATAGGCATGCACTATGGCGTTTCCGTTTGTCCCGCGGGTGTTAGCAGCTGTTGTATTTCAGTTATGACATGTAAGACATCAAGTCTCTTAATTTTTAGTATCAATTTCATTGAGCCTCTAGATGGGGGTGATTCTTAAGATATCCTCAATACTCTTGAGATCTTTGTGTATATTTGGGTTTCAAGCGTTATGTTTCAAATAGCCAATCTGAGAGAGAGAGAGAGAGAGTCTTTGCTTTTCATCAAAGCTTTTCATAGAGGTTTAATTAATTCTCTCTAATTTTAACTTCATGTGATCGATGAACTCTATTTCACCTATTATTCTGTTTTTGCAGAACGGTGCTTTATGCGCTACCGGAGCAATATGGACAAGATATTGTTTCGTCATCCGACCAGTGAATCATTACTTGGCTAGTGTCAATTTCTTCGTCTTCCTCACAGGTTTTGCACAAATTGTGAGAATCAGCCACTACAGGTAACACTAAACGTCATGTAGTTTGTAGCAGATTGTATAAATATTTACAGATACATCACCCCAGACTGGAAAGAGAAAGAAGATGAATCCTGATTCTTGCCAACATCGTAGCTTAATTTTCTATCGGGTTTCCATCGTCGTGTGATATACGGATAAATAGATTCTAGTAGTATGTACGAATCGATAGAATTGGGACAAATCACGTGATTAAAGTAATCATTCTGATGTTTTAGTAGCAATGAAAAGCTAACTCATTAAAAAGGTAAGTGGTTTTGAACATGACGTGAGTGCCAATCGTAGAAATTGACATAAACCCTATTGATGTCAATTCTCTTTCCGGCTCCTCAATTGAGCTCCTTTCGTTTCTCTTGCAGACGCACAGAACGGTTGTTTCTCTCATTTCTCTCTCGCTGACTTCCTCTTTGTCTCCGTTTTCGTGCGTACTATGACAACCATTGTGAAACATACAGCTTCTATGGTGAATGTCATTAGCATTTCGAGACAAACATATGAAGAGCTGGTCTATTTATGGAATATAGGATATATATTCAGTAAAGTCATAATGTTCGGTAAAATTGATTATGTGAAAATGGCTCCGGTCCGTCTGATATTTATGCATGATATGTGCGTAATTAGGAAAGCTCAGCGACCACTGCTTGCTGGGTCTAAGCTCTTTCGCCTCCATCTCTTCTCGACAAATGTTAGTCTGAATCAGGGACTTTACATTTCGAGGGATGAGCTTGATGCTGAATCATGAAGCTCATCGATTGCTTTAATTAGCTAAGTTGGGCGTACATAGAGATAGCAAGGAAGGAATGTTTCATACTTCCGGATTCCGGAAGAGTGCTCTGGGTGCATAAATTATGTCTTATGACTAAAATTACTTTCCCAATATGTATATATATACATATATTCTATATATGTGTCTGTTGGATGGAGCGTCCGTCTTTTTGAGAAAAAAATGTTTTCTGGAAGAAAGTATGAGTGGAGATGAGTGGAGATGATGATAGATAACGAAGAGCTCTTAGTCTTTCTGCTCATTGGTCAGCTTGATATCTCAGTACCTACTATCGATCATGGAAGTATTCTCATCCTTATCCCGCACTGCTCGTTCTCATCTAAAATATTAATAGATGAGGGGGGGGGAGACAATTAAGTCAGCCTGATGTGTTTTTACAACCCGCGTTTTGAAAATATCAGAATTTGATCCAGTTTCAACTCCTTCTATTACCATTTAGTGAGAGCATGACGTGGATATGGCGAATTGGATTTAGAAAGGGAGGTGAAACTAAAAGAGGCTAAGTGTATGAGAAACGAAGCGAGAATGAGGAATGAGCGAAAGGCAAATAGCTCGAAAAAAATGGAGAGATAAGTAAAGTGAAAAGAAAAAGTGTTGAGAGTTTCATAAGGAGTACGAGGTTGGTAAGAGAACAAGAGAAGGAGAGAGAATATGGAAAAGGAATGAAGGGAATGAATGTGAGATAGAAAATAGTGTGAGATGGGGATGGGCGAGTTGTCGTAGAGGGACCACGTAGAAATGTCGATGCACAAATGGAATCTCTCTCCGCGTTGAGTCACCAAGCGGTAAAGTTAAAATGGGAGAACTCGTCTTAAGCATATTTTCGCTGACTTATTCTGAATGGAATAAGCTAGAGGATTGGGCTAATTTGGGTTTGTGATAGAATAAATTGAGGTTTCTTTCTTGAAAACTTATTACTCAAATCTAATGGCAGTTTCTAGTTTTTCGGATGTTTGAAGCTGTTGCAAATCAAGGCTGTTTCTTGAGATTGAAGCTCTTTCATATGCCCACTCAAAACTTTTATGGAAAAGTTGCGAGTTGGTCGTAAACACACACACTCTCCATTACTTACCATTTGTTGCTCCACATTGAATAAATTTATGATTGATGAATTATCATAATTGAATATAGCTGTATTTTCAAATTATTCGAAAACCTTATGACGTCTTTGAGTGACGCTCATAGACGGTGGCTTGAATGACAGATGAGCCAAATGGAAAAGAATTCTGACATCATTTGCGTGACCTGACATTTTGTGCAATTTCACGAAAAGAAACACCTGAGCACTCAATATGGTCCTAGAGCGGAATTCAGTTGGGCGCATGCCAAAAGACTTTGATCTCGTTGTTTTCGTCCGTAGTTCAAAACTATTTCGATTTCTTTTTAATATCATGTGTTAGCTTTATTAAGAGTGAGTGTGAATGCGAGATTTGCTTCGTTTTCGTTCTGTTTCACGTGATCTCACATCGCTTCCCACACAGAATTGTTAGTCGCAATTAGAGCAGAATGTGACAAATAATTAATTTCATAAGAAAAAAACAAAAGAAACTTCGTTTTTGTTGTTTTCGGAATTTCCTCTTTTCACTTTACACGCATTAAGCTCGTAAAACGAGAGATTGTAGATGGCCATAGAAACAAAACAGCGAAATAAAAAAAAAGTAGGCGAGGAGCAACCGTTCAACACGTTTCACATGCGCAAAATAAAAACAAACTTTAGCATTTGCATATGGCGTGAAATTCCGCTACGACAATTCCACGTGTTTTTTCTGTTTGACGGCAGCTTAGAAACTTGAAAGAGGTCATTAACTGAACTTCGTAGGGTAGAGGGGGGTTTGAGTTCAATATGTTGTTTCAATAATGACACTGTCATAAGGATTCCCTGCCATGACAATTAAGGAGAGCCAGCTGATAGCGAAGCCCTATGTTGAGCATTTTCAAAGATTCTTGATTAGGCTTATTCTCGTTACTATGACCACCCGTTAACTAGTCAGAGTAGGTTGCGTTTTCTGTGGGAATACTACAGAAGATAGACTTCTGTCATTCGAGTAGAGTCAATCTCGTGATCTCATCTTCCTTAGTTGACAGGAAAATTAATTTTACTCTCCCCAGCCTGGCTACAATGTATTTCCGGATTATGTATGTAAAACAAATTGCCCAAATTTGAACAAAAGCAGGTTTTCATATTCATATTAACCTCTGGACGATTCATGGATATTCTTAAATTTCTTGTGAGAGAGGGAAAAAACTTTTTTGAGAACAGACTGTTGCTAACAGATGGGAATGGGTCGGAGTGGAAGATTTAAATTGTCAGAATTGAAGCAATGAAGGATTCTGCTTGTTTCCATCCAATTTGTCGATACACTCAAGTAATTTGGACAATCCTCACTCAATTACCTTTGGCTATTACCACGGACCGTTCTGTGAGATAATGCTTGAGCAGGATCTTCAGAAGGGTCAATAGAATCTGATTAAAAGAATTTCATGTTACTGGAGCGAGGAACTGAGGCGAGAAAAACTGTGTGCATCTTTGAAGACGATGTTAATCTATATGAGGGTTGTCGAAGATCATGTATTGTTAAGCATTACGTATGAATTGAAGGAATGCTTTGACTGCACAAATTATATAAATTAATCCTATATATAGAAATGCTCATTCACAATGTGATTGAAGACATGTGAATAGGCTTCCAATTTATTAAGATCTGCTGTTCATGTTTGAGCAAGGGACTCATCACCGGCAGATCTTGCTAAGAGTCTAAACCAATATGAATTGTATTATATGCATTATGTAATAGCTTGAAAGAACAATGTTTTTAGTGTAACAGAATATGAAGACATCATAGTTTATGAATAAATCATGAAATATTTCTTTTTTTCCATTGCTCATTTAGTGAATTGTAACTATCTAGTGCGACTCGTATCTGATAACCATATAGTTTAAAGGGCGGGAACAGCTGCTAGTCGTCGTAGGACTTTTAAAACGCTCAACAAGAGTTTTGCTGTTTCACTCATAACAAATAAATTTATAATTTTAAGCTTTATCGAAATGTCAAAAGAATTTTTTCGCGAGTCAATTGAAATCCATGAGTTCGTACAACCCAAAACAGTCTCTAGGTTCATAGGAATTAGAGGCAGTGCCTTAAACTCTTTCGAAAAAGCTTTTAACGTATAGTATTCTATTTTGAATTATTATTCTTGTATAACTGTAGGTTAAAGCTGTGGTTGTGACCAACAAAGGAAACATCAGTCTCAGATGCAATGGCGAGAAAGATAATGTCGAAAAATCCATCTTCAAATTCTATGAAACCATAGCCAACTTGGAGGATTCTCTTCAAACTTATGAAATGGATGTACCCAATGACAAAGTTGGTTTCTTGATTGGTTTGTTACTTCATCTTTGGTGTTACTTCAAGTTTGTTTCTTCTCAGGCTCGCATGGTTGGTCTATGAATGAAATCATGCGTTTGAGTGGAGCTAAGGTATTCTGTAAGCAGACAGAAGATAATACATCAGTTGCGGTCATTGAAGGTAAGATTACTCCTATTCCAAAATTTATGTGCATTGTTTCAAGGTAGCCACTCAAAGATTCAGCTTGCTGTAGAACTTGTTTTGAAAAGGCTTGAAAGGTATTCTTGCTTAAATCAGGAGAAAGAAGACAGTTATACTACAAACCTATCACGGAGAATCGCTTCAGGGGAAGAAACTTATTGATAACCTTTTGTTATTTTTGTTGTTGTTATCATGAATACTTGTTTATTAAGTGTTTCTCTCTATATGGTCATAGAACCTTCATTATCTTTTTTATTTTTCTTATTTCATTTGCTTATTTTATCATACAGATGCTGCCAACAGCCTTACGAGGTGCCATTCGTGGCGTTCAGCATGTAAGGACTGCTTGCCTATCTGTTTCAGCTCCTCTCTCTCAAGCACAAACTACCAAGCAAGAAGAGAAACCAAAGAAACGTCTGTTTTTCCACTTTGATCATAGTATATTGAAACGTTTGCAGCCACAATCTGGAAGATCGACGAGCAGAAAAGAGACCGTTTAGCCAACTTCGGTCGCTATGCTGCTGAATGTCTTCCCAAGTTTGTACAACAAGTTCAGGTAAGCTTCGTTTGTTCTTTCCGAAATATGATTTCCGTGTTTTAGTTTGCTGCTGGAGATGAGCTTGAGTTACTGATTCATCCAACAGGAGTTCTTCCAGTTCTCTCTTTCTTGAAGGGTAACCATTCCGCTCAGTTCACCAATTTGACTTTCATCTGTGGTGTTGATGTGCCTACAAGAAAGAATAGATTCGAGGTTTATATGAATGTCTTGAATTCCTCAGCATTGTACTTTCAGGTTGTCTATGCTCTTTACTCACCTCGTTTCAACGCTCGTTGTCGTGTTCGTACTTACACCGATGAGATCGCAGCTATTGAGTCTGCTACTCCTATCTTCAAGGGAGCTGATTGGTTTGTTATAAATGAAGAAGTTCTTCTATTTATGTCTGTCAAGGTTCGAGCGGGAAGTTTACGATATGTATGGAGTCTGGTTCAACAACCACCCAGATCTTCGCCGTCTTCTCACCGATTACGGTTTCGAGGGTCATCCATTCAGAAAAGATTTCCCCTTGTCCGGTTTCAACGAGGTAATTTATTCAATAACAGTTAGTATAATGTGTTTTCTGGTTTAGGTCAGATATGATCCTGAGTTGAAGCGTGTCGTCTACGAGCCTAGTGAATTGGCTCAAGAGTTCCGTAAGTTTGATTTGGAAACTCCATGGGAGACTTTCCCAGCCTTCCGTAACGCTTCGATTACTAGTGGATATGAGACGATCGAGATTAACAAACCAAGCGAATCTAAATAAATTCTAGGATTGTAGTTTTATAAAGTTGCTGTTCATAAGAAATAGTAAAGTTTATTATCTCATAATTGACTAGTATTATGTAAGTAATTAGGAATGTCAACAAATGGTTGGAATGAGAAGTTATTCCTCGTCTTCATCTAATATAGGTTGAGGTTCTCTATAAGCCTCGGAATGCATTTTGTGTCCGCTCATTTCCAACAAAGCTTTCGCTTCAGGGTCCTGAAATATTGAGAGTACTTAAGGTATACGTAGAAGATCCCTCACCTTGTCAATGATGGACTTCTCCGTTCGAATTCGCTCTTCTTCTTCTTCACTCAATTTCGGCTTTTCACCGATACGCCAAGCTTCAACGCTTCTCAAAATGATTCTCATTACTAATAGACTCAGATACGTTTGCTTACTTTATTTGGAATTCAGATTCTCCAGCGACTTCGCACTTTTCGAACGATGTCATATTGGCAATACAAATGCCGGATCCAAACTCCTCATGCATGAAGAATGGCCATGTGGTTTCATAACCCCCCATACCCTGGAATGAGATGATAACGAAGAACGTTTGCCCTTGTACAGTACCAATCCATTGGGTAGCGTACTTTGTTGCACGTTCAGATAGCCATAGTTTGTTGATCGTCCTGTAGCCATATGAACTCGTAAATTCGGTTTGATTTCGAAAAGGAAACATCGTTCATCTCCTCGATACTGCGGTCCGGAAACCAGTCCTATCGCAAAGCCTTTATTACAACAATTCGTTGAGATTAAGGCTTACCTTCACTTGCGAAACAACCAAATATGGCTCCTTTCGTAGACTCGACCAATATGATACAAGGCCCTTCGCCGTTTACACGAGAGAACAATTGAGAGAAGCTGCTGCCATGAACAACACTAAAAAGAAACGATTACTAAGGAAATTTTCCCGATGTACCTGTCAAAGAGTAAATGCCATTTTTCCCGTCGGTCCATGGGCATGAAAGAGTTCAAGACTGCCAATGCCGGAGTAGGGGCCATAATCATTCGACTGCCATTCAAAAAAGGAATAAATCCCTTGGGGCTTTGTCTAAAGGTAAGTGGGAATACTTCCTCGATAATCAGCTTAGAGAAAATCGGTCTAAAAGTGGAAGAATACTATTTCTCCAACAGGTATATCTTACGTGTTCATCATCCATTTGGAGAACTGAGCACCATCATCGGAAAGAGTACTGAGGAAGAATTGGAGGAAAGGTTCTAGATCATCAGGGGAAATAAGTTTCGAAGAACCGAATAGGGAAACGATCTCTTTGACAGCCTTAACAATAGGAACTAGAGCTCCGTTCTATATCAGGTTCAACATACTTTCGCAGGTTTGATATAAATAGAAAGTAAAGCTTCAGATTGATCGGACACATTGCCCAGTAGTTTGTCAATGACACCTATCAATGTGGTCACTTTGAGTTTTCCATTATGTTGGAATCTAAGAAATATATCAGAAAGTATTCCCGATTTTCTTTCAGCAGAGTAGAAATCCTACAAAGCGAAAAGCGACGTAGGACAGTTCAGCAGCGACTAGACTCACCATCAGAGACTCCTTGTTTGGGAATTCCGAGGATATTCCACGAGACGATAGTTTCATCTTCAGCTTCGACAGAGCTTCAGGCGTAATGTTCTCATACTTAGGCTCTTTTCCATCTTTGGAAGCTTCGGCACCCATGTCTAAATCTCAATTAGGAGATGGCAATGTTGACGAAACAAAAATAAGATGACGAGTGAATAACTTCTTGTACAAGAATGAACAGCAAGGCGTCGGGCTCGGATGGTTTCATTAGCCAATAAAAATTGGAACAAAGATAAAGGTTGGGAATGAAAACATAATACATACATTAATAACGTTTATAAATATATATCAGAAAAGCAAATGTTTTCCCGCCGAGGGTACAGATTATGGCTGGTTCTGGTCGATATTTTCGCTCATCAATTCCGTTATGTTCTTTTCCAGAGCATCAATTCTCTTTGTCATTTCATCTATTCTTCTCAAAATTTGATCCGATAAACTTTGGAAACGCTCCTGTGTTTGACTGAGAACGCCTTGAATCTAAATCGACATGTAATACGTTTTATTACTACTCACATGCAGGAAAGACAATAAAGATCGATAATCTCACTTACCAAGGTCGAAAGTTCATTCGCTCCGGCTTGATCCTGGAGATTTACAGTCTCGGTACCTTTAATTTCACCAGCAGACATGATATGCTTCTGAAAGATCAACTGTTGAAAGCTCGAAGTTGAATGATACAAGAAAGTTTGGAAAAACGCAAAAAACATGCTCCAACAACAATCGTTTTTTCAGCTTGATCAAATGAGCACTCTGACTCATTGGTTTTTCGTGTAATCGGAAAAAAGGTTTTGTAATAGCGGAGAGATTCAGAAGATCTTAGAAAAGTAATTCAAGATATGAGAAGAACCGTAGATTACCAGTGTAACATCACGAGGATTGACCTCCAATGTTCCTCCCTCTTAGTCATCTTATTGGTCCTGCACAGAATTGGCTCAGCCATTGATTCGGAATTCAAATAAAGCTAGAATTAACACACGTTTTCATAAATTTCTATGATATTTATCATTTTTAAACAATAAGGCTTCATCTATTACACCACCACCACTAGATTTTACAGATTAAGTAACGTTTGTAATTGAACAATGTCAGCTGCTGATGTAATAAGCAGTAACGTACCATTCGGATTACCGACAAGTAACACTCAAACACAACAAGATGAGGAGAAGATCTGGTTTGTTCCCGAATGAAAGGGCTTATGTCATCGAAGAAACATTCAGGACGAAAGTACTTCAAGAAGTGAGCTCCAAAGCACGCAATACGCTCCAGGGTTCCTCTGTAATAATGTTAGGTATTCCACGACCAATTACAACGATGACAATAAGGGGCTTCCTATTATAGGAGAGAAACAATGCGGAAAGACTTCTTTGTTCGGCAAACTTGAAAAGTCTGACACACCTATCAGACCATCTGCTTTAGAATATAGCATTCTCAATGTCCCTAGTGATGGCAGCTACGCCTATCAGCTTGGTACAGCTGGAGGTCTCGGTGTCGAGAATTTATATTTACCGGTAAGCATGAAGAGAAAAAGAAAATAAAGTCTTGACTTGTTTGCAGGTATGGACTTTAGATGGAGATGAAGCATTCGCTCCTTTATTAGGAAATGCTCTCCCTGCTACTGCTCCATCTAGAGCAGTGATTTTGTTGTGCGCATCTCTGGATAATCCAGGTGTGTTTTGAAAAAGCATAGCATGTTGGAAATGCATTCCTTCAGGTCTTATCCATTCCATTCGTCGTTGGGCCAATTTGTTATCTCTTCATATCACTCAAAAATATGACAAAACCGTTTTAACAGAATCCAAAAATCTTCGTAAGACTTGAATACTTTATATTTATTTTTGATTTTGAAATTTTAGAAGAGAGATATTGGCAAGAGTATGTAGAGCCTTCTATCGAATGCTCCATGACAACATCGATGGTTACGGGAATCGAAGAAACTGGTTTATTACCTGTCGAACCTGGAGTACTGACAGATAATTGTGGCGCTAACATAGTTGTTGTGATAACAAAAGCGGACTTAGGTATGTCTCATCTTTTGATGTTCCTTTTGCAACCGTTCCTGTCTGCGTTATCTACGCGAATGTTTTGAAACTATCCACGTGCTTTCCACGTGAACGACTGGAATATGCTAATGAACTCACTCATTCTTCTCGAGTTGTATGTCTCTTTCAAAACTTATTAATTACAGGATCCGATATGACTAGTCAACAGGCCGACAGAATAATTGTTCAAGTTCGTCAGCTTTGTCTGCAATTGGGGGCTGCCCTTGTATATACTAGCTCCAAAACCTCCAAGGGTGTTCAGGTTTGTTTTCTTCTGTGCAGAAAACGCTGAATTTTTTTTTGCAGACTCTTTACAAATATATAATTCATCGTGCTTATGGATTACCCTTTACTCAACAACCACAACTAATTGAACGAGATTCCGTTTTCGTACCTGCGGGCTGGGACGGCCAAAAAAAAATTGACATAATCAAAGTGAGCTTATAGTTTTGAGAGTTTCTTTAATCACTCTTGTAGGAAACAGTGCCTGATGTAGACGAGCCTCTCGAGCCTACAAGGGAGAAACCGACTATTGTGAAAGAACAGTTAGTTGAAGCTGAAAACGAACAAGTAGATCTTAATCACTTTTGACGCTGTAATCATAAAATCTGCTCAGATGTTCTTATCTCGACTAGCTGCTGCTGAGTCAGTTGCCCCAGCTCCAGTTAAGAAAGCAGCCATTTTGGACGAAGGCGGAGAAAGCAACAGTCCTCTCGCTAGTTTCTTCTCGAACTTATTGAAAGTAAGTAGATGCTGTAACCTTATCAAACGTAATTCATTACTATAGGATAAGCCCGCTACTTCTCCCAGAGCAGCTCCTTCCCCTCAGGATGCACAGGCCCAGCTTGACCGCATTTTGAAAGGAGCCGCAGGCCAAAGTGGTGACAGTGCGTAATGTTTTTTGTACAGGCATGCTCAAAGAACCAGCATAAGGTTTAATATTTATATATAAAATAAAATATTTCCATTAGAAGCGTATGATCACATGGTAAGATACAAAAAGATAAAATACCCGATTATGGGTTGTTCACGTATGTATAATGTTTTACACGCAATATTTGTAGAATTTTTTCAAAGTGAAATATCATTGAAAGCATTAGCCACCTGTTTTCGAATATAATATAGCTTTAAAGGACTAGGTGAATATCATGGATATATTAAAGGCAAGTTATCGGTCAAAAATGCGGGTCATATCTGCAACGGATAAACGAGAGTTTGCATTCTGCTCATCTTCACTCGGTGGAGCTGACGGCAGCGTTGGAACAGGAGCCAGGGTTCGCATACGAGGTTCCGGTTTAGGTGGTAAGGAAGGTGGACTAGATTCAGACTGACTTGATCCCCCGCTACTCCTGAGAGACGAAATTAGCAACAAGAGGCAATTAATAATTAGTACCTGTTACGACTAGGCTGAGGTGGGGAATTATCATTAATAAGTGAGGTACTGAAAGGAGAAATAGGTTCGCGAGGCGACATCCCACGATCTGTTGCAGGTCTCAAATTAGAAGAGGTTATATGTGCTGCTTCCGGCAGCATTGCTACTCGGAAACCAACTCTCTCGGAAAGAGGCTGCAATTTTTCAATATGAATGGCTCTTTAGGAACTTATAATTCTTACTTTCTTCGGCTCACTACGGAAACTGTCTTCACTTCGGCTATCTTCATCCTGCTCAATCATGTCACAGCTACGGTTCATGATGATCATTTCATCTTCTTTACTATCACCACGTCCCAGTACTAAGAAACATGAAGTTCAGAGAAAATAGATTTCTATATTACCTCCCCGTCTTCGAGGTCTCATCTTCTGCAAATGAGTGAGACTTGGAGGTTTAGGTGGAGCCTCCAAGTTGAGACTGAACTCTTCTTCAGCGGTAGGAGAGCCAGGGGTCAGATCTCCAATAATACTTCTTGGACGGTGTGAGGGCGCTTCCAAAGATCTATAATTGGTTGGTTGATCGGAATGGTATATCAATAACTATACTTTTTATGTATGCGAGGAGAAGAAATACTGGGAGAGTCTTCCACTGACGTGCTGCTAAGGCTTGCTGTTCTTCCAGCACTAGATGATCTCAAAGCCTGTTCACTACGATCACATAGCTCACGCCATCTCCAATCACTAGAAAATATAACTTAATATCTATCATATTATAAAAGTAAGAGTACCTCACGACCATTTTCACGTCTCTCATGAATAACTCTTTCAGTCTATCAGATGCGATACGCTCTGCTCTGGCTGCATCTCCGGTGTAATCTAGAGCTAAATCTCCCATGCGTGCCATAGTATCTTGAATAACAGCCGAAGCTTCTTGACGGAGCTAGAATGACTCAGAGTTATATGAAAGTGCCAAGCATCCAGTACCTGGTCGACAAAGCTGGATACCATCTCTTCAATTTTTGGAGGAATGGAAGGTTCTGAGCGTGACTCGTGGAAAGTTCCTTTAACAATATCACCGGCTGCTGTTCCTAGGTCGATGAGCTGAAGAAAAGGGTGGTTGACAACATACTTCTGACTGGAACTTACACTCTGAATACCCCCATTCAGGCCTTTCTTGGAGTTGGCAAAATCGAAGCAATCCGCCGATCTATTACGATCTAATGCTATCTCAATTTGAGACAAAGCAGTGAGTGCTCGACTGTGTTCGTTCCGTGCTTTACAATCGAAAAGATCATTCACAGGGTATGGAAGTGAGGTAAGTGTGAAGTTTCTGGAAGCATGTAAATGATAACCGAAATCAGGCCTGATCTTACAATTGCATTGCAGAAGCGAGATCTACAAATCCTTCTGCTCCAATCTTATTATTGTCAATAAAAAGGCTGCGAAGAGATACATTCAGTTGGAGAGCCTATTATTGATCGTTTAGAAAGAAGTGGAAATGAGGTTCATACCTTTGACAAGATTCTCGCGCCGAAGTTAGTCATTTCATTATGAGATATATCCAAACTGCGCAAAGATGTAGTTGCACCGAGAGTGTTCAAAATAACGCTCAAGTGAGAACCAAGCTGAGATTTGGAGAGAATGAGTTCCTCGAGAGGCTGAAACAATCGAATGAATGGCCGTTGACAATTCGAATAGTTACAGAATCATCCGAGCAGAGCTTGACGACATCCAAAAGAAGACGGTTCAGAGTTGTAGAATGAGATGGCTTTGAAGATCTTCGTAAGGATAATAAGTTGTTACCGCCAATGTCTAACTTCTTCAGAGTCGGAACTCCTAAGAGTGCTCGTATAATTCCCTGAAATCTCATATATTATGGTCGTCAACGACTGGATGAGAGAACCTGAAGATCAGTTTCAAGGTTATTATCGCGAAGACTGATGCCTGAACATCTGAGACTCGAGAGACAACTTTCTAGAACAACTCCACAGCTTTTGTCACAGGTACCTTCCAAATCCAAATAGTATGGCTTGAGCTTAAACAAAAAATGAGTCCGTGTTAGGGTAATGGTTGGTGGGTTGAAGTTGAGATAATGAAGAGAAGCAGAATGCAACAGATCTGTGCGTCGAACTCACTTGCTGATTGGAGGCTAATCCAAGAAGAATCGCCTTCAGGTTATCAGCTGATAAGGCAGTACCGGCAAAGCTGATATGACTTAGGTTAACTGCCATAGCAAAGAACTCTTTCATTATCTATAACATAAGACTGTATTTCATAATCATTGCAAATGACTAACGTTTGATGTCTCTGAACTCTTTTTCCCTGATTGACAACCAGCCAATATTAGTTTCTCCATTTGCAAACCTCCAAATTTGAGTGCAGGCCATATCTTGTCTAGTGGGAATTGAGTGTCTGTGAGGTCGAGAACTCGTAGAGGGGTGCATAACGATACAAGATTCACGAGTGGTGACACCTGTAAATATGTTGTTGAGCTCAAAAAACTCTAAAAATCCCAACGTCATCTTTTATAGTACAGTAAGCCAAGTTGAACTCGACTAAACCATGGTTAGGACTAGACTTTGAAGATGTTAAGCCACTGAATGAAGTTATGAGAAGAGTGATTGGTTGAGGTTTTACTTGTATAATCCAGAACAGAGAAGCTGAACACACTTGTCACTCAAACCACATTCCGTCAAGTTGAGGTATCGCAACGAACTTAGTTTGAACATTACCGTGCACAAGGAAGAGAACCCTAGAATTTCTGGATGAGTGGGCAAATTCAAACTTTTTTTTGCAACCTTTCTTGTCATCTAAGGCATTTTTAGATAAGTCTAGAGTTTCCAGTGGAGTCGAACTGATTTGCTGTATGGCATTGGCAAACAAATATATGAAGTCTCTATATAAAGAGAGGAATAGAGCAAAACTTTTAAGTAAACAAGATTTTACCTTGGAAGACCACAGTTCTTTAATCGTAACTCTGTCATGAAAGGTGATTTCTTGATAACCGATAGAATGACTTCAACCAACTCTGATGGTATGCGAACACCGTCAGCCGATAAACCCGTGAAGTAAGAAGAGTAGGAAAGAACTCCGACGATTGGTAGTAAGTCCCTATAGAATGTAATTGTAAGAAACTTTTTTCAACTCCTGAGGAAACCTTGGAAGCAAATGTGAGAAGTCATCGATGCGTAGACATTTCAGATTATTAATTGTGTATATTTTCTCGATATCCCATGACACTTCTTCTCTATATGGTTGTTCATAGAAATCGCAGAGAGCAGCATATGTTCTCCGAAAGCTGTGACAGGGCCTAGCAGCAGCATCAATAGTGATCGAAGGAAATTCATCATATAAAGAAGCTGGTGCTAGGTCAATATGGGATCGAAGTTGCGACTCTTCAATCACGTTTTTAGATATTTCACTGTAAGTATGAGACTTACTGATATCAGGAAAATAATGCTTTAATGCCGAAAGTATGAGCAGAGCAACTTGATAAGCTGATTGCTTTGCATAACGTATAGTATAAGGTTTCTTAGATTGTGAATCATCTACGAAAATCGATAGCTGAAATGATTTGGTGAGAAAAAGCCGAAGAAAAACGAAAACCTCATTGTCTTTGACTATGTGCACTCCTCTAACATTTAAAATATGGAAGCTTCGTTCGATTTTTAAGGAAGAGGGACTCTTTCCAACCACAAAAAATACTCGGAATTTTGATAAGACTAGTAGTTTAGGTTCGAATTTTTCAGCTTTGTGAGCGATTTCCACTCCCAAAGCCGCTCGGCAGTCGAAAAATTTACTGCCTAATATCACAGATGGTTTATCTGAGAAGAAACAATAAAATATTGATGAATGAGGATGCGGTAAACTTACGTAACACATACTCGCACAGTTCTTCCATCATACTGCGACTCATGGACATAATCGTTGTCTTCTACAGGAACAGTCATATAAAACGTCAACAGTGAGAATAGGCTGTGACTCACACCTACCGACCCGTACCACCTATTTCTGTAAGAATGTGAGGATAGATAAGGTTTGAGCGGATGAAATGTCAGAGGCAGTTAAGCTGATTCATTAGTATATAAAATCAATAGAAGACGGAAACAATAGGTATGAATGATTTCCAATAATGAATTTGAAACATCGAGAAAGAAACGGATAGGCGAAGTGAGATGAAGAGAGAGGAATAGAGAGAGAAAGGGAGAAAATTGAATAATTAATGGGCAATTAAGGGACGCTCGGGCTGCACGTAGTGCTTAAATGACCTCTGCGCAAACAACGTGAGATAAGGCGCAAACTGCGTGCATGGTGGTTGTATGAATAAACAATCGAAACCTGCGGGTGTTTCCTTTTTTTGAAATACAAGTTTTACATTTAATTTGTTATTTTCATAGTTATTCATCTTTACAGATGAGCCGAAAGTGAAACGTCCAAGAAAACACACACAAAAATAGAATAATACTTTTGCATTTTGAACAAGGAAAACATGCTGTGTCGTCGAAGTTTGACAATCTGTTGTCGTAGGTTCAGTTCGGAAAATGGTGGAACAACGAAGACTGCGATCGTTTTACTGCATGAAGGTCAACCTCGCACAGAGTTTTATGCCAAGGATTTCCTCAAAAACATCGCAGCAGAGTACTATAACGTTCCAGAGAAGTTCAGACGGTATGTCATCCTTGTTCCTGCCCTACCATACTCCATTCTTGCAGCAATATCCCAGACTCTCTTCTTGTGAACGATACAGTTCGTAAATGTGTAGGAGACTACGGTGAACGTTTGACGATTGAAGATAGTCTGAGCAAATTGGCTTCCGACGTCGAAGTAGTGTTGAATGATCTTGTCCCAGAATTCAGTAATATTTCTGTAACCAGTTTGTTCCCATCACGATCACAAACGTTCACCAATGAATTGGAAGCAGTTCTTAAGTAAATTCAGATTAATGTGGTTTTTTCATTGGGATTTTCAGTTCAGGAATTAGCCAACTGGTGGTTGCGCCTGTTGTGCCTCATTTCGCTTGTAGCCATTCGGGGATATTGCTTAATCTTGTTGCTGAACACTTGCTCAAAACGACTGTGCCTCTTCCCAAAGATGGACAGCCTCTTGAGAATGTTAGAGTTAGGCCCAATACCAACATATCCTTCACTGTATCAACAATTCATCGATGGAGTTCTCATCCAACAGTAGCCGAGGTAATTGACGTTAGAGAGGCTGATCAATATTCCTGTTTTAGTATTGGATTGATCGTCTCGATAAAAGTGAACAAGCATATGATGGGATAGTTTTTGCTTCACCGGCCATGGTAAATCCCTCTGCGACTCTGTTCCATGCAATAACCTAAAAAACGTTCAGAGAGGCCTTGGACGTTTGGAATATCAGAGATCTCTTGCATCTAGCTGTGAGCGAATCGCCACTAATTTAACACAATCTGTGCCATGGAGAATAGGATACTATAACGGATGGTCCGAATGGTCTTTGCCATTGTCAGATTCTCTGAGCAAACAGGTGAAACGATATAGAGATACGGGTTGGAAATGTCGTTATGTTTAGATTAAGAAATTGAGTGGCAAGGCTACAGATAGGAAACGAGTAGCTGTAGTTCCAGTGCCCGATTTATTCCCAAATTTCAATACGGTGACAGTTTTGCCATCTTATCTGGCGAAGGTTGTTTGCTCTTTCGAAATTGGGTTTCATTTTCATTTTGCAGCATAATAATTCATTTTTGGTGAGCCCATTGGAAAAAAGCCAATTATTAGAACAAGGTCTTGCTGAGGTAATAAAGAATCACTTGCTGGGTCGCAGAAACGCTCAACTATCACAATATTGCGATATGTGTAAGCGGAAGTCGTGTGAAGCTACTAAGCTCATACTAGCTTAAGCTTAAGTTATAGGGTTAACGAGAATAGAGATAATGTAGATATATAAATATTGAAATTTATTTTTTGTACATCATTACACTGGAAAAGAACACGCCACGTCGTGTTCGCTGCAAGTCTTATCTTTTTCTTTTTCTCTGTTTCTCTAAAATAGCCAGCAACGGACATACCAGCAGCTGCACTAATCGCGTAGAAAACAATAGAATCAAACAGAGTACACATGCAAACCATCATAGTTTCCTTTCTCAGGCTCACAGCAAAAGCTGTCTAAATCACTTTGAGCTTTGTGCGGAGTATCTATTTGTTGCTACAACTGTTGCTGCGCCTGTCGAACGGATGCGTTCATTCTGAGAACGCACCGAAAAAGCGCCTCTTGTGAGCGTTGGCGTAATAGCAGTGTTAGCACAATTCCTCTGCAAAATTTGCATTCCAGGTTCTACAAATGCTCTTATTTTTCCTTGATAATTAATGATTTATAATTTCTGATTAGCGTGTGGTGCTGTTTGTGATTTTTATAAATTCAAATGTGTGCAAAATGCGGTTAGTTGAGCTTTTGAAGTAGTTCTCGAGTCAAATATCGATTGGTCTATCGCTCACACGCATTTGACTTCATTAAACGTTCAGATATGCAAACTTCAGTGGTTTTTTGCGATTAATCAGACAGCTTAGCAATGTTGTCATGAAGGACATGTATGATACATAGTTTCATGTTGATAACGTTGTGGATATTCGTCTGTCCAATCATTCATCTTCGGGAATATTTTTTTGCTTGACTGAGCCACACACCGACTAGTTAGCCAGCTTGGCAGCGTGCATAGCAAAAGCCGTAGTTAATCTTTATTTTCTATATTCTGCCTGTAATTCCTCGATCATTATCAGTTTTGCAATTTCCACAAATCGTTAATAACACTCATATAGTCTGTTCATGTGCATTTTTTATTTGTTCATTTTGCTTATAAATGGCTTATGCACTGTTACAGGTCTTGAGAACTTTTGTGACATTGGGAATCGATCGATCACGTGGTACTTTGTTAGGATTATTGGTAAGTGTTTTGATAATTTTTAAAGTTTCTCGAAGTTTTCATGTTAACCTTGCGTTTTTTATTTGAAATTCGTGTGCGTGTGACTGACACAGTTACATCGTTATCATTTTATTTCAAAATTCATAACTTGCCGGCCGGTTGTTATAAATTGGATGTTCCATCGATGATTCAACATTATTTTGAACTGATGTCTATTATATGTGTTCGATGGACCTTATTGTAACTTTTTTTTTGACCAAAAGCTTCAAAGTTATGACATGCTCTCAACATACACTCTCGTCTTTTGCCTGCTCTCTTCATCATCATCTGCTTCTTCTTCTTCATCTTCCACTTTTTGTTTTCATTTCGTTAATTATTTCATTTTGCGCTCATTATGTGGCTTTTTCTCATTTTTCACAGAATCCTCTAATGTTTTTTCATTTTGTTTGAAATTTTTATTGATTTTCTGAGTAACTTTCATTACATTCTGCTTTTCAATTTTGATTCGAATTTACATTTGTTAACAACTTCTTCATGTTTCAGAGTGGCTGCAATGGCCGGTGGTGAAGATCACGTTCCCGATGACGCGAAAGATTCTGATACTGATGGGGAAGGAGCTGAAGAAGTTTGTCTTTCTCATCCTATCTTAATCTTACCTATCTTTTTGTGCAGATTTTAGAAGAATCCCCATGTAGACGATGGTCCAAACGAAGGGAACAAGTTAAACAACGGGATGTTCCAGGAATTGACGCTGCTTATTTAGCTATGGATAACGAAACAGGTGAGCAAACGGTTTCAAAGACGTTCCTAATCTCGTTTTCCAGGCAACGAAGTAGTTTGGAACGAAGTACAGTTTTCCGAGAGGAAGAACTTTAGGGCTCAAGAGGTATGTCGTCCCATAAGGCTCATCCGAACCATTGATGTTCGCTTTCAGGAAAAGATAAACAGCGTCTTTGATCATTTAACGAGTTTATATCATACGAATCTTGTTAAATTTCATAAATATTGGACTGATCAGAAGTCAGAGAAACCTCGCGTATGTTTTCCGCATGTTCAACCAAGTTCTCATATCGACTTTCAGATTATTTTTATAACAGAGTATATGTCTTCTGGATCTATGTCCTTATTTTTACAACGAACTAGGAAGTCTGGAACACCCCTTAGTATAAAAGTGAGTCTTTGATCTATCCATTACCTTACCCTCATGAATACCATTTAAGGCTTGGAAGAAATGGTGTACGCAGATTTTGTCTGCTTTGAATTATTTGCATAGCTCTTCTCCCCCAATTACGCATGGGAACCTTACTTGTAATACAGTGTTCATCCAACAAAACGGGTTGATTAAGATTGGATGTGGTAAGTCTTGCACTGTTTCTATTATTTTTGTTTTCGTGCTGAGCACTAGCCATATCTTGTTGTTGGAGTGAACCTATCACTCCAAGTTTGTCAGTGTGTTGAGAAACGTGATGGTTGAAGTGCGCTACTCGTCGCACCAGTTGTGCAGAACGGTTGCATCTCAAACTTTCTTCTTCTGCTTCTGCAGTTGAACCGCGTTTTCCGCTTTATCAATGTCAATGCTCGAGTTGCATTCTGAGTGCGTTGTCATAACGAGAAGATTGTGAATGTGATGACCGCCTGGTGATGATGAGTAGTGAGGACTGTTTGTCTCAAGACATTGACAAGCAATCTTCGGTTCAAGTCTGTGCTTCTACGTGCCGGTTCGCTTGTGCGCACTTACTGTTTGATCAGGAAGTGAATACCGAACCTATGCTTGAACCAGCTGGCACGTAAGCTGCCGTGAATTGTGAAGATTGTTCATCGGCAGAATGATTAGTAGATATTCTGGCAATCCTTTGAGCACATCGACTTCGAACAAGTTCAGGACAAATAGTTACTTTGACCTCTCTGTAAATAAGATTTGAACGGCGTACTAGAGTGCAATTTGATGATGAGAATGATATGAATTATGAGATTAACCATGTTTGGTATTTGCAGCACCGGATGCCATAAATCATCACGTCAAAACGTGTAGAGAAAATATGAGGAATATGCATTATGTAGCTCCTGAATATGAAAGTAATGGTTCTTCTGAAAGTTCATGTTCACCTATCTGATTGTTTAGATTCATATTCTGTCACTCCTGCAGCGGATATATATTCTTTTGGGATGTGTAGTTTGGAAGTAATTTTGATACTTTACGAACGGGGTTTTGATATCATTAGTTGCAGATAGCTGTTGTAGGAGGGCTTTGTGGAAGTCCAAATGGAAGTAATGAAGGACCGGTAACAAATGAAGTGATAGATCGCGCTCTACGATCTATAGAAGATCCCAACCAACGGGTGAGTGAACTGAGACAAATCTTTGGCTAATGAGAAGATTTAGGTATTTCTTGAGAAATGTTTGCAACGTAATCCCGAAGAAAGACCGAATGCTAGAGAGTTATTATTTCACCCTGCCCTTTTCGAGGTATTTGTGGTTCAAGAATTTTTCCTTTTAACGGTTTTATGGGTTGAGGTACCATCTGTCAAGGTGCTGGCAGCTCATGCCATAGTGGATAGCAAGATGTATGATGATGTATCCGATAGTGTTTTCCGCGTTCCGGATAACGAAAAAGTAAGTATTCCGATATCTCTTAAACGTTATGAGACTTTGCGACATTGCTTTTACTTGTGAGCTAGCTCTCGATGAATGCTCGCATGCCATGGCAGTGGTCAATATTTGCACGAACGGCTCTTGTTTGTTGCCTAACTTTACGGACCGATCCTCTCATGCGCGGACAATCCGCGTACTAAGAATTTTTACTTCCGCGGATTGTGAAAGCGTTTTCCAAGTTTAGAAACGTCAGAGAGAAAAAACAATTCCATGAAAGGATGAGAAATTGAGATGTTAATGTGACCATTTGTAGGTTGCCGCAACTAGTAAACTACGGGAAATGGCGTACTGTCAAGTTCCTGCTTTCCAAGTGGATCTTGAGAAATTTTTAGAAGACGTTCGAAACGGGATCTATCCTTTAACAGCCTTTGGGCTCGGTCGAGAACCTATCAAGAAGAATACGGTATGATCGATTTGAAAGTTGTTCGAAACTGAATATTCAAAATACAGGGTCAATCTTCCTCTGATTCTATGAAACCTCCCACGATAACACGGGTCGAAGCTCTTGAGAAGTCACAATCTTCGAGTTCAACACAAAAAAGGCCGGATCCCGAACCAACTCCGTCGCCTCCGGGAATCATAGAAGAAGAGTCACATAGAGAAAATAGGACTATTCTAAATATTAAGATAACATCTGAAACTAGGTTTGTGTAGCTTCGACTGTTCAAGTTTGAGTTGTACTTTTCAGTTTTTTGCGAGAACTGACGATAACGCTGCAACTCGAAGATATGATGAATCGGCAACTAACCACGGAAGTGTTAGAAGGAGACACAGCGGAATCGCTAACTAGGAGTTTAATACATCACGGTTTCATATGTGAAGTGAGTTTTGCATCTATCTTTCTTCTTCTTCGATCCCTTCAACCATATAAGTATTTCGTATAACTCTAGCCGTCACAGTTACTGTTGTGTGTGGGCCAGTCTATTAGTGGACTTCTCTATGTTTGCACGACTGACCTGTGACCTGCTAAGAGACTTTCTCAATTCTCTATTTGTGCTGTCTCTTACCTCAGCGGATAGTGCCAGATTATATCTATTTGAGAGAGAGAAGCTCTGGCTCTTCCTTGTGAGGACAATGACGAATTCTGAGATGACAAGAGAAAGAGGAAGAAAGATACGTCAGAGACTTTAAAAAAGCGAATTAGATGGTTTTATCTTTGAAAGAGGGAGAAACAAACGATTCTGATCTTAGCTTTATCACGAATCTCAGATGTTGTATATTGATGATCAAAAAAAGATAAGTCGAGTTTAGCATTGGGCACTTAACCTTGGTAGCTTTCTCGCTTCCTGGTTTTTGTAGATTAGAATCAAGTTCATGCGATAGAAAAAGCGAAGAGCACGAATAAAAAACTTTCTCGAAGCTCTTCGCTCGTGTATGTTCCATCCCTTTCGTGTTCTTTCCAAGTTTGAAATGTGAACTTCTCTATCTCTCTCTGAACTGTTTACTCTGTGAGTATAGGTTAAACTTAAATCCGAGACTAGATTCCGTGTTGAAGAAGAAGATAATGATGATTATGTTCGTCGTGATAATGGCCGTGCCAGTCTATTTGGCAAAATCTAATTTGATTGTTTTAGGCGGACGGCTGGCGGGTGGAGCGAGAGCTGGCTGAGGTAATGGCTCCGCCCCCATAGACGGCACTCGACATGGCGTGGCTGTCAGCGGTCGCTGTTCTACTAATTCCATCCTTTCTACTAAATCTAGGCCCTTACTCTGTTTCTGCCCAACATGGTACCGTAGGCCGGCCATGTGAGGTATCCACCGACTGCGGTACCGGTAACTATTGTGCCGGTAATAAGCGCTGTGCTTGCCTCACTACCTATGTAGAAATTGATTCGTACTGTTGGCGAAGTAAGTCTGCTCTTCATATGCGTTATTATTTGTACTGGTTCATCTTCCCTAAGACTTTATATTAACAGTTTATTATTTTTTCCATTTCTATCCATTCGTTCATTGAACCCATCCCAACTTGATCCCATCTGACGCGCGTACACACCCAAATCAGCACTATTGTGAACTTGCTCCAGCTTTTTGTCTTTTCGTATCCAAATCCTTACCTAGTCTATACTGACGTGTTTTGTGAATTGCACGTTAGGCGATTTTCTTGACACATAAATTATGGTAGTCCTTATTGCTTTTGTAAAGTTTTTCCTACTTCATCACCTCTTGTGCTGATGCTGATCGCTTCAGCTCTCTCCTCTCCTTGATATGTCTATTCTGGATTACTCTCCAGAGAATAGTTTCCGGTCTGTTCTCCTCAAAACTTTAGTTGTCTAGCTCTCGTTGACCACGAGAACATAGTTTGAAACAGTAAATTTCTTCTACATCCCCTAGCAATTTCTTTACCATCTTTATCAACCCGAGCAGACAGACCATGAAATAGACTTGAGAGGTCAATAGATTTTTCAGATTCATTTTTTCTATACAGAACTTCCTTATCCTCCTTCCCTATTCTTCTCGTCTTTCTTTTTTCGTGTTTTTGTTTTCATTTTTTAGCTGGCCTCGCTTGTGCTATATATATATTAAGTCATTATGGAGACACTAATAATATCGAATTTTTGGAATTATAAAATATTGAGAATGAATATGAATGCTTGTGTTAATATGATAGTAAAGAGTAGCCTTTTTGTATTTTTCTACTTTTAATCTTGTTCTTTGACAATAGAAATGCTAATGCTGCTGCCCATCAGCAGTCATTCAGTATCCTTCATCATCACCAATCTCTACTAACCCATGGATCCAACCTTCGACCAACAACGACGTCGCTACGAACATTTTCATTTCTTCTTATAGAAATCAATCCCGGAGAGTCCGGATGTACTCAAAACAGACAATGTGAAGCCGTTTGGCCAGGAGCTTACTGTAGATCTGGTGAATGTCGCTGTGCCAATAACCAACCTCCATTCCGTACTCGTGATGGACTTGTAAGCCTTTTTCTCTTTTTTTATAGTTAACATATCATTTGATCAGGTTTGCTTGAACTATGGATTCTGTCCATTGAACGGTAACAATCCTAAGTTCCGCATTGAGAACCAAGTTCAACAATGTTACGGAGGTATTTGTGAACTCGCTGACCCCTTGCAACCAGTCATTCAGGTGCTGACGCTACTTGCGAAGCTATTGGAGCTTTGGCCTATGATTGTATCTGTGATTCTGACGACTGTACCGTTAACAATCCCATCAGTTTCTGTTGCCCAAGCAGAGGTGAGAGCTTTCAATACAATTAGTCTGCAAAGAGGTGCAAAACAGTACTGTGAGAACTAAGCAACATTAGGTGGGAGTTGTTGAGCTCACGTCTTCGTCTTCTTGATGCGAAGAGTGAACGCTGTTAATTGAGAGAGAGATGAAAAGACTGAAGTGAAACTAGAAAATAATAAATGAATTCGTTTGCACTTTGACGCAAACGATTGCGGTTCTTTCATTTTTTTGTCAGTTCAATCACCATTTGCTTTTGTTATTTGAACGCGTGAGGAAGTTACACCTGGGCTGAGTATTTGAGTTATTCTTCGTGAGCCATTGATGATTTCCTTACGATAGAATGTTGAAGAGAAACGTTTATCCTTCTTTTCTTCAACGGTAAAGTGTCAAAAGAACTTCAGTTCAAGAATGTTCTAATGAGGAAGAAGCTGAATCGTACTTCTTCTCGAATTTTCGGAATGATTGCTGAACTGTGTTTACACGTAGCGAACATATCGTATGAACTTCTCGCGGCCATTGTAGATGTCATATATCTCAAATGACCAAAAAAGTAATGGAAGAATGAATTAATAATTCTAAGCACGTTGAGAATACCATAGGGTTCATCCTCAGTGATATTGGTCGTGCTTCTATTTCTTCAAGCTATGTTTGTAATCTATGAAAATTACTTCTTTGATTACTTCGATCACCTGTAGCTCGTGAGTTATGCATACCCTCTTCACTATATTGAGCCAATAGATCGTTATAGCCAGTCATTTCCAAGTTTCTCTATCAACAATACTCTTTTTTGATTGGTCAAAGTCTATTGACTTTTGCTCTGAGCTCCCCACACACATATACACAGACAGACGGTCCTCACATTCGCTTTCTTTTCGGCCATCTCCACGAACAGTACTTCCGCTCATCTTGTCTTTTATTTTCTTTTTCTCCCTGTCTCTCTCTCTATAATAGGAAACGTTTGAATTGACGGGAGGATTATGAAGAGCTAGAAGTAGTTTGATGACGAGCTCAAAGAACTTACAAATATCTTCGTGAAATGGAGCACATTGAGAGCAAACTTCGTAAATGAAGGGTCTGCAATAATAATAATAGAATATTGAACATTATACGGGCAAGGGGGTGAATGATTACTGAGAGCGCAAGCGTATACAACCGTGTTCTGATGAAATTTGAATGAAAATGAAAAATGAATTCGATTTTTCTTCCACGTGAACTCCACGTAGATTGCATTTGAATACGTGACTATATGGATCATAATTTCAGCTTTCGCCTGTATTCAACCACCAAATGAGGGTTATACCCCACCAGGAGGTGGAACTACTCTTAACCACTGGTATCACGATCCTATCACTGGCGAATGCCGTGAATTGAAATACCAAGGATATGGTGGAAACGCCAACAATTTCCAGACAAAGGATCACTGCGAATCATACTGTAAACAAAGTAAGACATTAACATATCCAGTGGATCAGAATATATGTAACTTCTTCTAGCATGTAACCGTGGTCTTCCATTGTACCGTGATCGTACAACTGGAGTCAAGCAAGAGCCAGTATATTGCCAAGGAAATGATAATGGATGTAACAATCCAAACTACCAATGTACCACTATGGGAACTCTCCAGCAATGCTGTCCAACCTATCGTATGTTTTCTAGTTCATCGATTCCAGTGTTAACATGTTTCTTCTGCAGTTTTCATCTGCTCTCGTAGCGGAGGTATTCCAAGCGAAGTTTACAACACTGCTGGTGGTCTTCCAACTGAGTATTTCGATGTCGGAATCCCAGATGGAAGTGGTACAACATCTCCAAGATTCTACTATGATTCCCGTGAAGGACGTTGTATTCAATTCTCTGTAGGCTTTTTTGGAAAATTCCTATTATGAATGATTATCTTTGCAGTATCTTGGTCAAGGAGGTAACTTCAACAACTTCTTATCACAAGACCATTGTGAGAAGTTCTGTTCCAGAAGTGAGCTTACTTTCTCGGGTTTCATTTAGTTTCTATGTATAATTTCAGTTCTCTGTTCTGCTGGTGAACCTCTTAAGGATTCTTCTGGTGAACGTAATATGGAATGCTCCCCAACTGGAAGTGGCGCTAACTCCTGCCCATCCACTCACTCTTGCGAATCGACCTCCGGTACTTGTCAATTCGCACTAAATTTGTGTATAATTCTATTGTAGGATCCACAACATTCGGTGGAGTCTGTTGTCCACGTCCGCAGTACGTGTGCAAGTTGCCCCGTGAACAGGGTAACTGCGGAACATATTCTAACCGCTGGTGGTTCAACGCTAAGACTGGAAACTGTGAAGAATTCATTTACTCTGGTTGCCAGGGTAATGCCAACAACTTTGAGTCCTACAAGGAATGTCAAGATTATTGTCGCGACGCTAGAAGTGAGAGATTCTTCTGTGAATATCCATCTATTTTTAATTTCTCTAGGCGAACCACAATGTATCCAAGGAACAGCTCTTACTGATTCCAACGGTAACTTCATCATCTGCGGAGGAAGCTCAGCCGCTTCTACCACATGCCCAGCCAACCATTACTGCTACTACGATGGAACCACTTACGGATGTTGCCCAACTCAAGGTTTATCATTGGCTGTAGTGCTTTCCTAATTCTTCGATTCAGCTTACACTTGCTCTTTATCTTACAAATCTGGAGCTAGTTGCGGTCCAGCTGTTACCCGTTGGTACTACGACTCTACCACTCGTACTTGCCAGACATACAGTTTCAACGGATGTGATGGAAACTCTAATAACTTCGCTACACAACAGGATTGTAAAGATTACTGTAGAGTGGAGTCCTGTCCTGATGGTGGAGAGGTCAGTTCTCCTAAAATTCAAAACAACTTGAAATTTTCGACAAACAAGAGTGAACAATAGGAAGTGTTCGTGATGCTCGTTGAGCTTCATGTTGTCAAATCAGATGAGCAGTATGACTGTCTTTGTTTTTCAATTGACGTCTCTCATGTAGCACAAGTTCAAACTTCTCTGCTGTCACAACTCTGATAACGAAGCACATTTTTATTTTCTTTTGTTTTGTGTTTGCGTTTGCAAAAGCACTGACCGGGGGATTCACTCTAGAGATTGCGAGAGAGAAAGAGAAAGAGAGAGAGACAACGTGATGGTGAAAGAAAGAAGTTTTCGGAGAAAGCAACTTGACAGATAAGAACACTGTGGAAACGACAAAAAAAGTTGACAAAACGACCTATAATTAAATGTTTTCCTTATTCGTTTTAAACAAAGCTTTCTATTTGTCTAAACGTCTTGCTGTCACTCCGTGTCTAGCAGTGCCACGTTTGTTTTTGTCATTATCCTTTTCTAAAACGTTGGTCTTCTTATCCATCAGACAGTTTTGACAAATCTTCATTAGCCATATCGAGAGATGAGTGTCGTATTCTCATCTTTAGCCGATTAACTATAAGAGTCATATAAATAAACTTTTCCAGTCTATACTCTCAGAGAGAGTAAGAGTGGGAGAGAGAGGGAGAGAGGAACTTATAAGCTTATATATCTGTGATCATATTTGCTTATGATTCACAAAGGTCAGCCACAATTGAATTTCTCTATTTGGCAATCTTATAAGCTCGTTATTTGAAATCACACAATCAGTTGTTACATATCGTATGGGTGTGTAGAAGATACCGACCGCTTAACAACAGGAGAAAGAATTGAAAATGAAAATGCTCCTTCAACTCATCTACAGACATGACTCTTGTTAATCTGATTGTTGAGCTCAGAAACCCAAAAATATATTTTTGAAAGGGAACTTTTTTTCACAACCTTGATTCCAGGTATGGAAGGAGCAAAACGGAGCTGCCCGTGCTTGTACAACAAACAGACAATGCCCATCTACTCACTACTGTACTCCCGTCACCACTTGGACCGGTAATATCAATTTTCATGTCCGCTCTGTACATTTATTCTTTTATAGGAACTGTCTACCAAACCAAGTCACTCTGTTGCCCATCTAAGAACTACGTCTGTTCCCAACCTCGCGATGTTGGAGTTCGTTGCTCTTCCACCAGAATCAGCCGTTGGTACTTCAACGCCGACAGCAAGACATGCCAAACATTCGAATACAACGGATGTGAAGGAAATCGCAACAACTTCGCCAGTCAAAAATCCTGTCAAAACTATTGCTTATCTGAGTCATGTCCACCTGGAACAGTCGTTGCTAAGGATGGTGACGGTAGCCGTCTTGTCCAATGTAGCAATCCCGGAGGTAACGGAAGAGTATCTGGAGGATGTCCAGATGGCTACACCTGCTACAGTTCCCCACTCTTGGATCAGAACGTATGCTGTGGAGCTAGTACAGAATTACAATGTAAGAAATTGAGATCTTGAAATGCAATCATCATACTCTTTTTCAGCTCTTTGCCCAGCCCAATCAACACCATTCATCTCGGCTTTATCATTACAGCCAATGCAATGTACACCAAATGTTGATGGAGCCTGCCCAGGAAACTTCTTCTGTTGGTTCTCTACCACAACTACTTCGGTTAATGCCTTCTACTGTTGTCGCTCTCCTGATAGTGTCGATACTGGATGTAACTACTCCTTATGGGATGTCATCTAACGATTCATTTCTTTACAGATTGTCCACCTCAGCTTGTTCCAGTTCCAGGAGAAAGTGGAGCTCAATACAAATATTGTTCACCATCTGCTCCATTAAATGATAACATCCAAGGATGCGGAGCTAACCGTCATTGCCAATTCAGTACCAACTTGGAAAGATATATCTGTTGTGGTTTGGAATCTGACGTTCGACTTCCAAACGTCTGTCCACCTCAACCAGCCAATCTTGTTCCTGTGGAATTGGCCGGTAACTATCGCACTTGCAATCCGTGAGTTCATCTTCATGAGCAGAGCTGTTTCTAATTGTACATCCTCTTTAGATATGCTCGTAACGGAACACCACAGAGTTGTCCAGATAACTCTGCCTGTTTATACACCGGAAACGAGAATGGATTCATTTGTTGCCGAGTCCAGCTGGGATCTGGAGGAAAAGCTTAAGCTGTTCAATTGATCTGGCATGACGTTGTCATGTCCTTACCTATTCCTTGTAATTCCTTCTCAGAACAGTCTTATTACGCTTACCCTATTCGAATTTCTATTTCCATCTTCTTCCCTTCTTTCCTCAGCAACATCCCATTGGATGATATTGTTTTTGTTTTTTTTTCCACAAATTTTTTAAGAAAAAAATGCGTTGTAGAGGAGTTAACTCGCCCAAGAATTACCAACCATCACACCTGATCCTCAGGTTTTCACATATCGCTGCTGTTCAGCTTAAGCTGAAGTTGTATTAAATCCTCATGAACCAAAAACGGCAATAGTTGCTCCACACTCACTCGCAGTTAAAATCAAAATTTTGCAGTTTGTTTAGTCGTGTATTGAGCTTTTCGTTGTTGATGAGTAAGCTAAAGCCTGAAAGACAGTTCAAAAGCAAGCTATATCGCGTTGTTTTTCGTTCGTGAATCCATTGTCACATCTTTCGAATGTGTTGTAACCGTATGTATCATATACATTCTAGTGCTCCTGCTTCTACACTTTGTTACCCATCGTCGACAATGTTGTCCTCGTCCCTTCCCCCTGAGTTTACTTCATCCCATTTCTCTCTCTCTCTCTCTCTCTTTCTTTTTCTATTTCCTCCTCTCTACTTCTTTGACTCTACTTTCCTAATTCATACTAGCAGGCAGTCTTCTCTTCCGTCTCTTCTACTATTCTTGCGTTTATTTTCTTTTTTTGTCTTCGCTATATCATCGGCGTAGTGCGATTCTCACCAGCTTTCGTGTCAGAAAAAACTTAATTTTATAATTTTTACAATCCGTCTACGACGAACTATATTCTGAATGTTTCATTTGTTTACAATTCAACAAATAAACTTTAATTCGAATGATCTATCTTGTTGTTCTCATTGTCTACAGCAGATCAAAGGGTAAGTTGTTTACATGTTGTAGTGGCGCGATACCCGAATGGCGCGAAGCTGCCAGGGTATATAAAGAGGAAAATTTAAAAGATATCAGTATCAGTTAGCTCTGCACTGACAAACATGTCTTTGATTCCACATAGCCGTCACCATCATTTCAATCCTTTCGGAAGAAATTTCGATCACTTCATGGGTGATATGGCTCGTTTCGAGCAAGGTTTCGCTCCTTACTGGAGAGACAACATGTTCCANTATTTCCTTTCCTCGTTTGATAGCAGAAGTTGTTTCTCAACTTCTTTTTCTCTGTTTTACTGTTCGTTGAGTTGTTCAACCCACATGTCTTCATGGATAATAGAATCATTGAACTGTCCTATTCAATTACCTCATACTATCTCGTCTTTACTTACCGATCCTCGAGAGAGTCCTGTTACTACTTCGTTCTATCGCTCGACGGACACCCATTGGCTCTCTTCGTTCTTTCATTTTCTTGATGAACTTTTTGCTTCGTCTAATGCTTTCGATCAATCCTTTGTTCCTTCAGTTTTACATCTTACTTTTATTTATTAGTTTTCAATTTTTTTCCTTCTTCCCTCTTCTCTTCCTGCACAGACGTTGACAGTCGGACTTGCTCAATGTACTCTGCGTAATAGATATCTTCAGTTGTTTTCTAGGCAATGGTGCGCCGGACTTAAACTATGTACGTTGCACGCTTTCACGGTTACCCCCAAGAACAGATGTTTTTTACAAGTTTCCAGTTGTTGGTGATTGACTTGAGAGCAGCTTATTGGGTTCAGATCAGATGGTCACACTAGGTGATACACTTATAAAGTTTTTTGTAAAGTTTGGACCGGATTTCGAGACTTACAGTCTTGGTTATTCAGTGCTAACAGTGGACCGATAAGTGATGAGGTTCTCTTGTCTTGCGCCGGGAAAATTTGAAACATCTTGTATCGACAGTTATCATAGCTATTACAGCTCTGCTGGACTGTTGCGTTTCGGACTCGTACTATGTACGGCGCGGATTAGATGTACACCAGCTGTTTTTATCATTTTGTCAACCGGACTTAAACTATGTACGTTGCACGTTTTTATCGTAATTGAAAGGATTCATCACTTTTTTGAAGCTTGGGGTTTCCAGCGCGGGGTTTAGTGTGAGAAGATAGGGGTTAAGAGAGAGGATCATATGTATCTGACAGTAAGATCTGCTGTCGGACATATTCATGGTACCAAAGATTAGTTTGGTCACAATGCAAGGATCAGTGAAGGATTTGTCCTGAGTTCCGCTAATTTTGGATAAGGGTGGCGACACCTGAGAGGTTTCCTCTCAAAACTTAATCTTAATTTCTGATCAATTCAGTAGTCATAATGTTTCGATGGTAGCAGTTCAATCCGATCTAACCATTTACATCACTTTGGGGTAGATACAACAGTTCGGGGCGATTTAGAAAAGAATGCAATTGCTCTGGACGGTTGCAGTCGGAATGCAACCATTCTGGGCGGCTTCGGATAAAATGCAATTGCTCTGGCCGGTTTGGGTAGATTGCAACAGTTCTGGACGGCTTGAAGGTAGATGCAACGTGTCGGTTTCCGATTAGACCTGTCTTGCGAACCGATGAGCTTTTTAATCCTATCTGGAAGACCTCCACAGAAAGGAGTGGAGCTCACTGGCACACACGGTCAACTGACGTGATTCAGAGTTACAGGGCTTATTTACCCTTTTTAAACTCGAATAGGATGTCCATTCTTTGTTGTCAAGACCGAATTCCAGAGAAAAATGCCAAATTCCATTTCAAAATCACGTGAAAAGCAGAATTCATAGCAGACTTGGTATTTCGGGTAGCAACATGTGCTCTACTGCGAATTGTTGATTCGAATCAATCGCTAAACACAGGAAAAACAATTATTTATATTTATTATTTTATAATTTTTGTGTTTTGTTGATCTTTGTCTTTCTCCTAGTTTTTTGAACTTACAGGGTATCGATTGATTCGAGGTTTGAGTTCTCATATCAGTGATTATGTGCTTTTCCTTTCCCGTAACTTCTCATTGTCTGTATTTTCTCTTTAACTGTGTTCTTTCTTTCTTGGCTTAGAACTTGTTGCTACCTGCTTTCTAAGCTCATGCTTGTGAAGTGTCCGAAGTTAGGCGCACATACATGCTTGTGGATGGGTGTTTCAAGAAAATATAAGAGAACAGGTTGTGAATGAAGGTTTATCAGAAAAGTGTTTAAGAAGCAGCGTTCCATTGAGGCCAGCAGTTGTAGGTNGGACTGTTCCTCAAGATGTCAACGTAGCTGAGCTCAAGACTGCTCTCTCTGAGAACGGACATCTGACCATTGAAGCTCCCAAGAATGGACAAACTACCATCCGTAACATTCCAATCACACCTGCTTTGAAACATTAATTTGCTTGTTTTTTCTTTTTTTAATGATAAATTTCTTTGGTTCATCTTGTATAACCGTTCGATATCTGAAGAATGACAAGAGCTGAAGTCTCGCTTGGTGTGGGACCCCATATGTACTTGTTACTTGGAACTTTTTGTGCCGTACTACTATCGATCGATGAAACTACTTGTCCATGATCTTGCAACAGTCTATAGGGGAGGTTTTTTTCATTTCAGGACATCACTGAATATCTGAGATGGAAACTGTGCTTATCGAACTTCTTTTTTTTTTCTGTTTTTCTACTTTGCCGAGTTGTTGGGAAGATGTGCTTCAGTATTTCAAGAAAATATAAGAGAACAGGTTGTGAATGAAGGTTTATCAGAAAAGTGTTTAAGAAGCAGCGTTCCATTGAGGCCAGCAGTTGTAGGT